CCCTACCTGGTGATGAAATGGCAGCAAAAGGGGAGATCATGCCCAAAAGGAAGATTACCAAGAAGATGGAGGGATAAGATTAGGTCATCTGCAGGAACAAGATGAATTGTGGCATCGTGGGACTTGTGAGAGGGGTGACAACTTAAAAAGGCATGATGGTTATGATGATACCCTAAACGCAGCTACATGCAACAGCTAAATTGTAGGTAAGATGTCTATGTTTTTCATAACGTGCACGAGCAAAATAAACATAGGAAAGGCCCCTTTCATAGCCAATATGGTGTGTAGGAGGCGTTCATCCAGCAAATAATTTGACAAAACACTGTCGCGTTTTTACAAACAGTCTACCTTTGCTTTGTAGACTTGGAGAAGGCATGTGACCGTGTTCCCCGCAATGTCTTGTGGGAGGTGCTGCGGGAGTATGATGTACCGGTGCCGCTTGTGTGCGCTATCCGGTCGCTCTATTCCCGGAGTGAGAGCTTTGTCCATATTCTTGGTGTTAAATTAAAGTCGTTCACTGTGTGGGTGTTGGACTCCGCCGCGGGTGCGTCTTGTCTCCACTCCTGTTTGTGATTTTCATGGGCGGGATATCAAGGGGCAGCGAAGGTATGGAGAGTATCCAGTACAGGGGACATGGAAGTGGCGTCGCTTCTTTTTGAAGATGACGTTGTCCTCTTTGCCTCATCAGTCTGTGATCTCCAGCGTGCACTTGAACGGTTTGATGCCGATTGTGAAGCGGCTGGGAAGAGGATCAGCACCTCCAAATCTGAGGTCATGGTTCACTCCCGGGAGATGGTGGAGTGTGCTCTCCAGGTGAGGGGGGAACAGCTGCCCTTAGTGGAGGAGATGGAGTACCTCGGGGTCTCTTTCGCGAGTGACAGTAACAAAGAGTGGGAGATCGGCCGGCGGATCGGTGCGGCGTCCGCAGTGTTGCGGGCGCTGTACCGCTCCGTGGTGGTGAAGCGGGAGCTGAGTTCTCGAACAAAGCTCGCGGTTTACAGGTCGACTACGTTCCCACCCTCACCTATGGTCATGAGCTTTGGGTAATGACCGAAACGATGTCGCTCGGCTGGCTTGGAAACGCCTGGGAAATCTGCAGGAAGAGCTAGAGTCTGTATATAGTGGTGTAGTAGTTCTAGAGTCTGTGTATAGTGGTGTATAGTGGTGTAGTAGTTCTAGAGTCTGTGTATAGTAGTGTATAGTGGTGTAGTAGTTCTAGAGTCTGTGTATAGTGGTGTGGTAGTTCTAGAGTCTGTGTATAGTGGTGTATAGTGGTGTATAGTGGTGTAGTAGTTCTAGAGTCTGTGTATAGTGGTGTAGTAGTTCTAGAGTCTGTGTATAGTGGTGTATAATAGTGTAGTAGTTCTAGAGTCTGTGTATAGTAGTGTAGTAGTTCTAGAGTCTGTGTATAGTGGTGTAGTAGTTCTAGAGTCTGTGTATAGTGGTGTCGTAGTTCTAGAGTTTGTGTATAGTGGTGTATAATAGTGTAGTAGTTCTAGAGTCTGTGTATAGTAGTGTAGTAGTTCTAGAGTCTGTGTATAGTAGTGTAGTAGTTCTAGAGTCTGTGTATAGTGGTGTAGTAGTTCTAGAGTCTGTGTATAGTGGTGTATAGTGGTGTAGTAGTTCTAGAGTCTGTGTATAGTGGTGTATAGTGGTGTAGTAGTTCTAGAGTCTGTGTATAGTGGTGTATAGTGGTGTAGTAGTTCTAGAGTCTGTGTATAGTGGTGTATAGTGGTGTAGTAGTTCTAGAGTCTGTGTATAGTGGTGTATAGTAGTGTAGTAGTTCTAGAGTCTGTGTATAGTGGTGTAGTAATTCTAGAGTCCGTCGCCAGGGAAAGGGAGGTCTGGACCGCCACTACTCAACATGCTGCCGCAGTGACCCTCACCAGGACAAGCTGATTGAGAAACAAACGAACGAATGTAGCATTTTAGTAAAACTATGTATTCCATCTTCTTCCTAGCTTTGTTCCCGCTGTGGTGCAGGGTCCGCTTTTCGGCATTGTCTTCTCCATTTGGCTCGGTCCAGGGCATCTTCAGGGGATGCGTTGACCGTCTTCATGTCTTCCTTTATTCGGTCCATCCATCGCTTCTTCGGACGTCCGCGTGGACGGCGGCCCTCTGGCTCAATACGCACGGCAGTCTTGGCCACTGATGACTCTTCACTTCGCATCACGTGGCCGTACCACCGAAGCCTTGCCTCAAGCATCTTGTCCACAATGGGGGCCACACCAAGTCGCTTCTGAACGTCTTCGTTCCTGACACGATCCCATCGAGTGAGCCCGAGGCTCCATCTGAGCATCCTCATCTCCATGGTGTATTCCATAATAAAGTTTTTTGGGTTAGGGGCTCGCATAATGCACATGCATCATGTACGTTGCCTCAGTAATCCCCCCCCTCCCACATTGTGCAAGAGTGCAGAAGGGTGGTCAACCACATCTACACCTCTATATGAGGACCGAAACAGGTGGACTTCTCCACAAATCTGGCTGTCGCCTGATGAAGCTAGTTGTAATTACTGGCGAAACATCGTACTCAGTTTGGAAATGTTGTGGCTTGGCTCTCCAACACACCGGTTAGTGCTGTACTAGTGACGAATTGGCCACTGTTAATGTGACGACCCTTACTATTTGGCTGTGTCGGGTGGTGGCGGGTTTTAACGACACATATTTACGTGATCTAACTAAAAAAACTCTATGATGGATGATTTTGGTCGCGACAGCCTACGTGTTAAACAGATATATGTTTATACAAAAATTGCCTTCATCCATGAGTGAATTTACAAAGAGCTGTACATTCTCATTAATTTACATAAAAGGGACAATGAAAAATACATTTTCTCCATTTAATTCGTGGTTTACAGTGAAACAGGTTACGATTCTCCATATTGCTGTTTACAAAATTTCACGCTGCCCCCGATAAATTTCCAGGATCACCTCCACGTTCTCTTCACCGCTTAGCTTCTTCGATAAATGACCGCTCATTCCCACGAAAAAATATAAAACAAAAAAGTTTGCATTGTTGAAGGCAACGAAAAAAAGTTTCTTTCTCCAAGGTGATTTCCCCGCTTTCCCCCAAACTCTGCTAAATCGCCGGGTCTCACCCACACAAGTTGATGGGTCCTCGCGGAGCCAATTGCTACATGAAGCCAACAGCAGCAAACCACTGTGGCTGTCCTTGGGTTTTCACCTTGTTCCCTTAGAGTAGTGGCTCTTAACCTTAACTGCAAACTTGCATCCCTTCGGTTCCCAAACGTAAACAAATGTTTCATGTTAATAAATACATAGATGTTTCATGAAATAAAGTAGTCGTACTTACGTTCCCGTGCTTAATTTGTGTTTCTATAATTTACCTTCTAAAAAAATATATGGACATGTCTTGCAGGGGCATCTCGCACCCCCAGGTTAAGAACCACTGCCTTGGAGGACTGCAGTCCAAATGTCATGAAGAGGGTCCTCACACGTTGAAATCCTGGTGAAAACATTTCCACTACCGATGGACAAACTCCAAAAATTATATTCATTCACATTTTTGTTAATTTTCTACAGACCTGGCCCTGCCTCGTAACTGCTTCATTGCATTAAGTCAATCCGACTGTCATTGTTAATCTGTAAATCACACAAATGTGTGTTTCAAGAGTACAGTGAATTGCGAGTTGCCTGAATTGTCTAATGGATGTATGTGCGGAAGACACGAAAAGAAAACCTGAAACAAAGCAAACGCCGAATTAAGTTGTGGGTTTATTTTGAATATGTGCAATTACGCACTACGAAAATACAATCGTTTAAAAATACGACAATAAATGTGGCCATTGAAAAATGTCATGGTTATCGAATATATATAAAATCAGACCCAAGAATGAGTGTGTGTTTAATGCTTAGTATGTCGTTCCACTGTAAAATATTTGGACAACTCCGCAGGCAAAGACGTTGGATTATCACGTAAACCACCGTGATATTGCCAAGTCAATAAAAAGCATGATCAGGGCAGTTTTTCCACCTATTCCCTATTTCTCAGTGATCATCATCATCTCGTGTCTGTTGAACCGCTAATCAACATCATGAATTATATGAAATGTACAAATACCGTACCACGATGTTAAAGCAATGTTATGTGCACTTACACGTACGCAGAAGATGAGAATTTCAAACTGAGAAACAGTTGGAAAAAGTGACATGAAATACGCAATTACCACAGCGGGAAATATAAGACACGCAACAGATGATGCAGATTAAATGGTTAACAATATCCCCATACACGTGTTCAATTTGTTCTGGTAAAATGTTTTAAACATGCTGATGTGGCAATTTAAATATGGACTTAGTTGCAGGGTTAATGTGCTTCTAATCTAGAGTACATGGTTTTTATTATTGTTATTATTATTCGTTCTTTCGGTAAAGTCACGTAGAAGGGAAATAATAAAATAACAAAAAGATAAAACAATAAAATACTCATGACGTTTCGACTGCAACACAAGCAATGATCATCAGGTGTGAAAAAACACAGCAGAAACAATATTGTTTCCCTTCTACGTGACTTTACCGAAATAACCAAGAATACATGTTTTTTGTCACTATCGTTAATTTAAGACCACTTTTCAAGTCTGTATATACAGTCGTGAAACAAAACACGCGATGAGCGTGTAATGTACGTTATCACACGCGTAGAGGACGAATAACGTGGACATGCACGGAATTTTCTTCTTCTTCGTATGTTGCATATCCCCGTCGGATATAAACGGAAACGAACGCAGTGGCACACTGAAGCTGTTCACCATAAACAAAAAAAGTTGAACCGCAGCCCCTTGCGGAAGTTGCGTGAACACAAGAGTATAATTAGCACCTTCACAGAACCACTGAAACACAAAGCAGCCCACACTCGAGCACGCACGCACGCACACGCACGCACGCTCTGGCACTCTAGACTCGGATACACATTCCCCAGCTAACTGGTCGCCTGCCTCCTGCCTGCCTCTTCATCTGTGCGTGGTCAACTACAAGAGGCTGCGTCCTCAAAGCCAGGGCTTTGCCGGTGACAAGATCTTTCATCGCTGTGAATGCCATCTTGACCTCCCTTGGATCTTGCGAAAGTGCCCTCCTATTGTTCTGCAGCATGTGGTAATATCTTTACCCCAAATGTGAGTATACGTACGTATGCATGTTTTATTTGTACGCTATAATAACCATTGCCCGCTGCCTTAAACGGGATGTTGGATTGTCACGCTATAACTCTTGCCCGCTGCCTTAAACGGGATGTGGCTGGTGTTGATATGAAAAATGTGTGCCCTTTCGACGTCAGACCAATGCCGAAGCGAAGGTGAGATCGAGCCATTGATATTTTTTCCCTTGGTCTTTTTGTGAATTATGTTTTGTAGAGTTTAGAATATAAAAAATAGAAATTACTGTGACGGAGCATCACGCCGTGCCATTTACACATCAGCAAAATTAGTCGATTTTTTTATTTTTTCGGGTTTTTTTAATATTGCATAGTGTGCAGTATTTAAAGGTTATTTTCATGAGTACTGATATGAATGTTTAAATACCAAACTTATCAAGGAAGTTGAAATAAAACAGTTTAATTCAAGTGTATATAAAGTTTGTTTGAACTTATATAATGTCACTGGATTAAACTTTGGACAGTTTATCTTTACATATTATATTTACGCGATCCAATCCAAAGAAAAAAAATTATATTACGTCTAAAGTAACGGAGAGAAATTGTGACAAAAATTATTTCAGAAAAAACTGCGTTCTTTCCAGTTTTGAAATGTTGGAATTAGTCCTAGTAACTAACACATGCTATTCCTAAGTCTCGCATAGAAGTAATGGCCTACCTGCAACATAAACAATACGGTCCACAATCTAGAGATATCGTATGAATAATGAGCAGTCAACATGTTGTGAGAATGGGATACACAGCACGTGAATGGACTTAATATAATAGAGTATTTTATGAGTAATACCAATTGCGAATCTGCATACGTGGTGTCACGAACATCACGGTTAATGTATTTAAAAAAATAAATGTGTATATAATTGTTGCATTTAATTCCCTACAAAGCTTGTGGCTTTTGAAACAGTTTTTTTTTGGTCCAGATAATTATCTCCAGTGTGTCGCCGTGTCTGTGTGGTAAGCACAGTTCCTATATTCTCTATAAGGTAGATGATGATGGTATCGCTCCAGTTGAAAGGCTGTGTGGGTCAGAGAAAGCACAGTCACGCTTCAGGCTTTGCAGCCCCGATATTTGACCCACAGGCGTCTTCTGCTGCATGAGCCCACGGTGTGGTTTTCGATGCAAGCAACGTTGATCATGTCAGTGCGGCGTTACATCTCAGCACAATATCAATGTTGATTTGAAGTTTTCGTGACTGCAGGGATCCATACTCTTTGGTTCTTTCGGTAAAGTCACGTAGGCAAAAAATAAAATAAATTCAATAAAAATATTTGGGGTTTTTTGGTTCTTTCGGTAAAGCCACGTAGGTATAAAATAAAATTTAAACATATATATTTTAAAATAAATAAATTACATTTTATTTTATTTAAAAAAATATATATTTTTTATAAATAAAATAACTTTTATTTTATTTTAAAATACATTTTATTTAATCTTATACCTACGTGGCTTTACCGAAAAAATAAAATAAATAAATTTCATTTTATTTTATACCTACGTGGCTTTACCGAAAGAACCAAAGAGTACAATATAAATGCATAAATATTGCACGTGCATGAGGCTGAAAACGCAGCCACTCAAGGTGTTGGCATCTGAGCCGGGGCAGGCCGGGGTGGGGGCATGGTTGCTCAAAGCCTCTAAAGCAGTGCTTTGAATGCAAGGATGGTGGATGACGAGAGGCCATGGTGTGCATGGGAGGACGTAAGTTTGCATGAAATGTTTGGGGTGGTGATTTGTGGAATGCAGCACAGAATGCAAGTTGTTGACTGTGAGGAATATTGTCCACTCGTGTGTGAGTCGGGGGGGAGTGGGGAAGGGTTATAGGGAAATCCCTCCCGACATAAAAAAAGGTATTCAGAAATAAATTGGCCAAGCATCTCAAACGGGACCTTCTTGAGTAAGAACATTAGTGAAACGTTCCGGAACATTCGCTTACATTGAGACGATCGCTGCGTGCAGAACTGATCTGAGCAAACAACTTCTCATAAACGTATCCACTTCTCGTATTCACGCGCATTTGCGGCTCTTTAAATATTGAGCTTTTTTTCTGCCGAATTCGAAAATAGTGCCGACCCCTGACCTAGGCAATGCGATATTTCATGGCATCTGCTCGCACCCTCACTGGAGTGTCCCCATATGAAGGAGCTTTCATTGGAGAGGCTAATGAATTGCCCCGTGGGTAACGCAATGTGTCATATATATCTCAGGGTCCACATATGCTGGATAAATTCCAGAATTCTAAGTGCTCAAACTGACTTGGCCAAGCAAAGATACTTGGTTTGTATATGGGAGAAGAGTCACAGTGGCTGGCAGATTTGGAAGGTAAAGGAAGGCGCTGTCTCGATGCAATTGACGAGACATCGCAATTTGCAGGCACAACTGTTTGGGGGTAAGCGTTTCTATCACGCTAATCAGTCAATGGTTGGTTATTATAAAGATGAATAATGTTTTATCGCAAAAAAATATTTTTGAGCACGGTTCTAAGGACAACACTTACGTTGATACATTTCTCACATCTGCCATTTTTAGTTGTGCTGCAAGTGAAAATTGTGTAATACTGCCCTGACCTACAGATTGGTTTTCTGCATCTTGCGTCAGGATTCATGCTTTTATTTATCGCTATAAAACGTATGTAAAAGTCGTAATTTTATATCGGTAAATGATGCTTACTAAACTAATAATAAATTAACCATCAAAGTTAAACTATATTATTAATTCTAAACCAAACACTTGCCTTAAGAGGAAATAGAAAACTATGATACTGTTGATAGCAACAAAAACATTTCCTTAAACATGCTACAAATCCTTAATATTCTGCACAGTGAGCAGTCCATCCTTTTAATGTGGATGCAACTCAACTCTGTGAAATGCAATTGAAGCGAGACAATACTTGAAGTCGAACAATAAAGCAGCATTCGACGTTACACAAGTCACAAACATTTGCTACGTTGACCTGTAGCGTACTTCAATGACACCATACATTTACACCTGCCCGAGTGTGCATATTCATTCACGCAAAGGTAAATTGAGACGAAATAACAGTCATGCTTAACGAGGACACAGCAAAGTACAACTTCAGCAACAACAAAGTTCACAGTGCTACAACAAAAGTGGAAATGAACGACTGCTGTCAATACGCGCTCCGCATGGGAACCTCTCGGCTCTGTCTCACAGGTGAAAGTTAAAGGCGCAGCCTTGCAAATCCTTGCTCACGCCACCTGCCAGCAGAAGGGCGTCCAACTCAGGGGAGATCCGAGAGTGTATCTGTTCGTGTTGTCCCCCCCTTGCCCACTTTCGCTCACGACCTTGCCGGAACTTTGCGCGAGCGCGTTCCAGTGCTCTCGGAGCGGTTCACCGCAGGCAAGAGTCGAGCGGCGTGCGGGATGGAGAGCGGTCTGGCCGGGCGTGGTCACGGGGATGTGGAGAGGGCCGTGCGAGAGGCCGAGACGGAGATCAGGGGCCTCCACAACGAGCAGGACAGATTCATGCTGCACTACGACGAAAGCCTGCACATCGAGGGTATTCTGCACCAGCGCGCAATGCACTCACGCACCCGCCGGGGTTAGCAACTCTGAGGTCCGTGTCCATGGGAATACCAGAATAGGGGAGGGCCTATGTACGAATGTTTGTTGAACTTCTTTCGCGCTCGTACGTAAGCCAAGCGTGCTAATCGGAGGTGGACGTGCATGCATCGTGTTGGGTGGTGTATCGTTACACAACTGACAAAAACAAATCGTGAGTTTAATGTCCCAGGAGCACAGAGAGATTACCCCGGACAGCTACCTCAAAAAAGAGGACGTTCTGGGAAAACCAGGACAGGTGGCAACACGAGCCCACTGGTGCATCGTCCAATGGGCAGACACAGACACTTAGTATTGGAAGGCTTCTCTGATGGACACATGGTTGTTGAGCTTGACATATATAAAATGCAATTTGCTAATGGATTAATACTCTTTGGTTCTTTCGGTAAAGTCACGTAGGTATAACATAAAATAAATCACGACGTTTCGGGCGCAACACAAGCGCCCGTCATCAGGTGGGACAACCACAGCAATAAACAATTGCTGAGTGGACCTTATAGGCAGATGAATACATCGTCTGTTGGGCAAACAAGTATATGATGAAGCTAGCGACCTGAAAGATGCAGATGACGTGTATACAGTGAGTGGGCATACCTTCAAAAGAACTGCAGTAGTATGAATCACTGATTATTATAACTTTTTACAAGTTAATACTTTCTACAAAGTAACAATAATCAGTCAGTAACTTGGAATTACTGGCAATGCAGTATCACCAAATGATGACAGTGGTGCGCAAAACCAAAATAACAAAAAACTCAGCTAATGGAAAATATGTCCAGTTTTTGGTGTACAGTATAAACAGGTAAATGAACAGATAGAGACTGAAATTTGTATTTAAAGCTTTCGTGACTGCAGGGATTCATATTCTTGGTTCTTTCGGTAAAGTCACGTAGAAGGGATTTCGCACCTGATGACGATTGCTTGTGTTGCAGTCGAAACGTCGTGATAATTTTATTGTTTTATATATTTTTTATTGTATTATTTCCCTTCTACGTGACTTTACCGAAAGAACTAAGAATATGGATAGAGACTGACTAAACTTATACAAGATGGGCACATAAACATTGTCTAGGCATCTACAATTGAGTTAATACCTGATACACTTTACCTGGTCAAGCAATGGGCAGATGGACAGGCAGCTACAAGGACAGAATTCTGGGAGATGCGTTGTAGCATTGATGTTACACAGAGGTACACGTGAACAGAGTAACCATTGGCTTCAACGTGTCTAACACGTGGAAGGAGAGACAATGACGTATGATGTGATGAACAGCTAACAGACCAGAGTGATCGTAACAGAATAAGCATGGAATGCGTTTGATGATGGTAGAAATACAGAGGTTTGAGCAGGGCAGGCATTCAATCTTCGGACACGTGCATTATATACATCTGATTTTAAAAGTGAATGTACTCAACAGATGCATGTGTTTTAAGAGAACCTGCACATTCTGACTCGCTGCTTACTGATGAGCAGAACAACATATGACTTGTCTTAGCCGAGCTGCATTTACATATGCACACATGAATAAATGCGCACAATTGTGTTCCCACAAATAGGAACATTCTATAGCGCTGCATTTGCAACCACAGAAGTTTGGCTCCAAACTTTCCACGGCGCCAACTGCCGTAGCAAATGCGACTGCTGAGTTGACACAAGGCTGGCGTCCAATCCAGCACCAGTTTTAAAAAAAAAAACCATGCCAACAGCAAATTGTTGAACCACACAACTCTTGCACTGACGCACGTGTCAGGCATAGCCGATCATTAACATGTGTTACGATGTAATCGCAGACATCTCGGTGTTCATTTTGGAAATATCACTGGGGTGACCGCTGGCAAACTAGTGCATTTAATTACGTATTGGAAACTGTGTGATTAGATAGCAAACAGGACGTGCACTAACGCGCGCACACACACTCATTGTGCAAAAGCAAAGGTTGAATGGTGGTCACCAAATTTCACTTAACTGTGCCGAGTACGTTTAGTATTCACCTCGTGTTTACACTTAATGTGGCCAATTGAGTTAATGTGAAGTTTAATACCGGACGACTTACGTTTTGGTGACCAAAGCAGCGTAGAGAGGTGCTTTTCTTCATTCACGGTTCTGAGCTGGTGGTGAAAATACCCCCTTTCTATGCTGACGGCAAGTTGGCCCATAGGACAAATCTTCTTGCCAAATCTACTGAACTGCAGGTCACATATGGGTGGCTCAGGTGCTTTGTTCATTGATGGTGCCAAACAGATAAACTAAATATGTACTTTGGATGCAGTGGTGATTCAAGCGCTCGCCCTACAATTTAATAGTTGTAAGTTAAAATGTTAAAATATCCGTCGTGGGTTCAGTCAGCCCATTCGGGGCCACTCAGCATTTCTCTGGAGATGTCTGCATTGGTCATCCTCATGTAAGACTTTGGCCCATGTTAAATACAATATGGAAATTACATCACTCGATCAGAACCATCGACCGGCATGGGCAGTGCCCCACGGTCGTTTGGGTAAAAACGATGCTTTTTTTTACTTTCAGTTGAATTCATGTGTTTGCGCGTGTTTATATTCGAACGTGCATCTGTTCACGTGCGTCCGTTTTGCTTGCGCGCGTGCGTGCGTGTGTGGTGCGTCCATTCAGTCCAGCTCAGCCATACATCCCCGCTGCAGACCCCAAGTGACCAGCTGAGAGACCAGAGCCTGCGGCAGCGGCAGGCGACCCTGGACACCCTGCTGCGGCAGCAAGTGCAGACCATCGTGCAGTTGCGCATGGTAAGTGATGCGCCAAGCTTTGCAGTCTCGTCTTGGCTCTGCTATCAACAAATCCTGGCTGAAAACCGTGGTCAGATATTGAAATAGGTTTCCTGCTATTTATCTACTCAGTATGGAACAGTTGACTAAATCCTCCTTAAACGATGTCGGCCATCAGTGGTGTGGAGGGTTGATATTTGTGTGGATTGAGATAAAGGTGCAGCCCTGCAACCGCTTCCTCATATCACTGCTGACAGGAGGGGTCTCAGCTAGATGGAGCTGTATAGAGGTTACTCGGCCTAGGTTGTTTCTCGCACCGTTAGCTGCACATTGTCCGTCCTGCTTGAGTCCTGCACGCTCAGCCCCATCACTCGACACGCTGCGGTAAGAGGAGGAGACGAGGTTTACAGCTCAAAGTGGCAGCTTATGGTTTTGACCATTGCTCGCCCGTTCACTGGGGGAAGAGGCAAATAAATACAAAAATTCCGTCGTGCAAAGTAAGTGGTGTCAACAACGCTGTGAAAAAATTTTCGCCTGGCCCTTTACGAATTATCTCGGGGGCCAGTTACGGGAACGTGGAGTACGAGTGGCAGCAAGGTGGTTTCTGAGAACGCCTTTGTTTGAAATGAACTGTACCTAGAGCTTCCGTGGAACCACGAACCTCGGGATTTACTGCCGTGGGAGGGAGTTGACGGGCAGCGTGGTTTGGATGATGCATTCGTGAAAATTTTGGCCCGAACATTTTGTCTGCTCCACTTCAAATTAGGCTATGACAGCATTTTGGAATTTTTTGCTTCGTGTGCACTTCATTAGATGTGTCCGTGACTGTATACATGTTAAGAACGCTGAATAGTTAAGCATCAGTCTATCATATACGATATTCGAACATTTACATTTATATGCTGTCTGGTAAATTAAAATAGTTTAGTGGTTGTTTTTATGCAATGGATTAATGATAATGTGCATAAGATGTTTTTCCGACTGATAGCTGCTGGTTCTGAAAATTTCTATAAACTTTCCCTTTGGCAATATCGTCTATATTTCAGCGAAGCATCACATTCAACCAGTCATCATTTCCTCAAAGTTACAAGAAGTAGGTGTACATTTAAAAATAATGCACTTTGATCTTAGAACAACACATACGATTATTGGGCTAAGGTAGCGCTGAAGCATGTATATTCAGGATGCAGAAGATGCATACGATCCACACAATAAATATTCTGACTCTGTTAATAATGCATTATGGGAGTTGATCGTCGTAGTTTGTCTTTTATATATATACGCAAGCTAGATCTACTGCAGAGCCCTCTTTTTTACTGTTGCATCCATGTGTCTGTCGTACGCAAGCAGGTAAAGTGCGTGATACAAGCAGCCCTGGAAACGCGATTGCAAATAAAGTGCCCAGTGTCTGTCGAGCGCAGCTTTGGCAGGAAGTGGAGTACGATATCAGATTGTTGTTTGAGACAAAAACAGGTCATGTGTGCCAAGGCATGGAAACTTTTCCCGTGTGCTGCGTTAAAAACGAGTGATATCAATTTTGAGTCAGGTCGCAGACTTACCGAGATAATCTCGGACAGACCGAAACACGAATCAGCTTCCAAAAAAAAATTAACGCAGACTCTTGAGCCTGGCATGTCTATGAAATAACGTTATGTTTATCACAGCGAAGCAACAATCATCTGTTATCCCAACACTCACTTTGATGTATGGAGGAATATGAATATGTTTCAGTACGACGTTTCATCTTTAATATCCAGTCAATACCTTTTGGAGATGCGGAGTGAATCACGGAGATAATTCTTGGGAAAGAGTAATGGTGGACAGCTGTTCACTAGATGCTCCATTGTTCGAAGTTGTTTATCACATTTGCACTGTTGAGTGTGTTTCAATTATCACTTAGAACCGGGCCATGGAAAGCACCTGCAAGTGGTGAGAAATTCATAACAAACTATGAAGGCAACATTGGCAGGATCTGATACCCCGACGTCCCACCGCAAAGGGGCAGGCAAGATGTGGTCAAAGCACTTTCCCTTGGCACTGGGCGGTTGGGTATTGCTGAAAGACCTTTCGAAGGCTCTGTCGCGAAGAATGATATATTCCGCGCCGATGTCTCTGCTGAATTGTACAATTGACACAGCGGTGAAGAACATCGTAAACTTTCATTGAAGGGATGAGACGAAGGGTCCTCATCATTGTAATAAATATGTAATTGCATATTCGCTTTGTAGCATACGGTAAAGTGCACGTCTCAGGCCTCCGTTACGAGCCATGTACGGCTCGTAGATTCTCATCTGGTGATAAAGGTTATGGCGGTGGAACGGTGGCACGGTGGTTAGTGCTCTGTACTATGAACCTCGTTTGTCCTGAGTTCGATTCCAAGCTTTTGCTGACTTCAGTGGTGAGTGATATCTCAATCAGTGCCTCCCCCTTCCCCCACATTCACAAACCCCTGCTGACTAGCGTGGGGAAGTAAGGTCAAACCATTCTTAGGCCAAACTCTTTTTGGTACACGTAACACATCTTGTGGCGTGAGTTTGGCGAGGAGTTCATGCAACTGGGAGACCGCGCTTCCGTGACGCGCGTCAATGCCATGGATCGTTGATCGGCTTCGGAACACGACCGGGGTCTCCGATAGGCTGACTGACACCGAACACCACGTGGCACATTGCGACAGTGCCGTCCACATCAACGCCGGGGAGACAAAGGTGGTCAAACATTGGAACTCCTCGATGGTACGTTAGGCTAAATGGGAGCTTGCTAACAGCACTTGCCTCGACAGTCTACAACGACTAAAGCTAGGAAATCTTTATCTTTTTTTATACATATGGATGTTTGGATGGTGGTGATGATGACAGTTATGCCACTGCTAATCATGTTGATACTGTTACCGATGATGATAATGATTATATTGATAATTTCTGCTGATGATGCTGCTGGTGCTACTGACGATGGCGATGATTATCATATTGATTCTGCTGCTGAAGATGCTGATTATGATAGATGCAGCGTGTTGTCTGGGGTGACAGCGTATGTATGTGTGTATGTTCTTCATCGTACGTAGCCAACCATGATAATCTGAGGTGCGGGGGAAGGACAACACACTGATGCACAGCGTCGCAGCTGTACTGCATGAGTAACGTGTTCTTGAGGGCCTGGGTTTCAGCCTGTCCCTGATAACTTGCAAATCACGCCATAATGCCATTCATGTTTGCTATCAGGTTCGCACGAAAGCAGAAGTAAAGGCAATGCCAGCGTTTAAAAACCATGATTTCATTTAATTGAAAATATGGTATTAAACCTATTCAACGTAGTTATATAAAACGCGTTTCGCGCAGTTTATCTGTGCACTGTATGTGTACAATGCGTAATGTATTTCTAATAACTGGAAATGTAATTTCGTCAAATTACAGTGGAAACCTGAAATTTAAATAACTGACTAAAATTGAATTGCAACAGAAACGATTCGTAGTAAAGTTTCCTGTAACGCAGTTCGCAACGTATTTCTCCTGTAAAGCCCATACTGCTCAAGGCTTTCAGGCCGTTGGTGGCAGCAGCGCCTTGTTTACCACAAGAAGCCCGATTTCCCCCCATCACATCTCTGGGAGACAGCAACCACATCAAACCCGCACGTTGACTGATTCATGACTCTGCGGCTCCCTGACCCAGGAAAGGCATCTGTCACGCGTTGTTTTTTTGTGTGAGGCAGCCGCTCAATGATGAGGAAATTACTATAAAAAATAAGAAAAAATATATAATGTACCTAATATCGTGATAAGTACATGTCGTGCCCATGTTCAGCACGCTTTTGTGTCAGCCAACTGCCAATCCACTGCCGGATGAGGGCCTCTCTCCCCACGCCTTGCCGGCCGTGAGAGATATTTGACCATACTTCATCTCGCTTGTTAGTGTGCGTTGGTGAAGGTGGGGCGAGTTCAGAATAATGGGGGTTTTCTGCATTGCACTTTCCTGCCTATTGCGCACGGTGATCAACTATTGCAGCACTATTCAGGATCAAACCTGCTTAGCTTTTGGAATCTATTGAGTACGGGTGCAGTGTGGGAGATTTGGTTGCGGGCCAGTGACGATAATTCCCCACAAATTCTGCCATTGTGTCTCGGTAATTTTTCTCACTTTTATCTGAAGAAAATAAATTTTCACACGTGAAAAAACAACTTCATAATACCGTAGGCTGAGTGTCAGAAATTCCATCTGTGGCAATTTTAGCCTTGCCACGCAGCTTATGCTATTTTGTCGGTCACACGTACGACCGCCTCTGAATTCCAGGCCAACCGTCCCACCGATCACTCAGTGCCTGGGGTCTGTGAGTCACTGCCACCTGCTGCTCAATAGGGAACTGCAGCTTTCTGTAATTCGACTGCCTTGTCACACACAGGGAATTTCAGGGACTGCAACGGTACAGGGATAAAAATATAATACTGGTAGGACCTCCTGGTTACACCAGCTCACAGGGGATTATTGTGTCCGTCCGTCCGTCGTGCAGGGAGGGGCTGGGTGGGGAGGGAGGGACTGGGTGGGTGGGGAGGGGAGGGTGGGGATGAGCTTGATGGGGAGGGGCTGGGTGGGGAGGGTGTGGAGGGGCTGGGTGGGGAGGGTGGGGAGGGGCTGGGTGGGGAGGGTGGGGCTGGGTGGGGGGTGGGAGGGGTGGGGCTGGGTGGGAGGTGGGAGGGGTGGGGCTGGGTGGGGAGGGGCTGATCACCCCGTGGTGCCCTTATAAAACTCAACATTTAACCTACTCACGCCGGCTTGTGCCCGCCCTCACAGTTGGCCATATTTGCGGAATACACCACGCGGCCATTGACCCAGGCCATTGACCGAGCAACCCAACATTCCTACCAGCTCCCTCCGCAGGAGGAATGTGTTTAGAGTGCCATCGTCACGGTGACCAAACGTTACACGGTATCTTGACGTATATTTAATATGCTGCTTGCCTCAAACATACCTTATTCCAAAGCATATACTCCGTAATTGTTCAGTTACAGGCCAGTGTGTGTTAATGATGGAAGGTGGTAAGCGAGTTCAGGTTGCCACAACGATAAAATAATTTACAATGCAAAATATTGAAGCACTAATTATGATGATATGGAAAGCCTCGGTGAACTCTGCGTGGGCCCGTGTGATTATCATTGTGGTTGATTGCTCGTGTGACGGCTGCGTGCAGACCGTGGTGGAGAGGCTGCAGACGTGCACGATGCTGCTCAACCAGATGCTGTCGTGTCTCCTGGAGGACAAGCTTCCGCAGTGGCAGCGCAAGCAGCAGCTGGCGGCCATCGGAGGCCCTCCCGAGGGCAGCCTGGACGCCCTACAGGAGTGGTATGCCCATCGATCCAATAGACCATGCATGCTAGTGTTGCCACCTGCGTTGGGTTTTCGAAGGATCACCCTCTTGTTGTGGAGGTAGCCGGTGTATGACATCTGTGAGTGTGTTCCCCGGATATGGAAAGTCCTGGTTTTCTCTTCTTGGTTCTACGTGACTTTACCGAAAGAACCAAGAAGATGAATCCCTGCAGTCACGAAAGCTTTAAATCGAAAAGTCCTGGTTTTCGTTAGTTTGCGTAAAAATATAGCTGTCGAGGCAATGCATTTACATGGAGCTCTCCCCTCTACAGGTATTGTGAGATATTATTCTTCTCATATGCCTCGGGGTTTTTTTGGTACCTCGGAGCTGGCAATCATATCCCATACGTACTTCTAAGGTGTAATACCCACCTGACTGCCATTTTATCCTCCAAGGTCATCAAAATGAGGACTGCTTTCAGTTGGATGAGTGGCATAGGGAACTGAACTGTCAGGGCACTGAGTTGGCACTGATGATATCTGAGGATCAATCACCATGGGCAACCACTTGTGATGAAATCGTAGTTTCAAGTACAATTAGTTGTCTTAGCTTGGTCACCAATGACTGCACACAAAGAAGACCCCACCATATAAATGTGGTTTTCCACATGGCTCAATCAAGCCATGAGAATGAACAATCTTTGTTTGGTTGACAAGGCACGATCACTCTTTGCAGAGCGTACAACACGTGCGGACTCTGGGAGCACACGGTCAGAGCCGACTTAACCCATGGGCTAATAAGGCATTAGGCCCTCATATTTTGTAGGCCCTCCATTCCACATTGAAGTAATAGCCATCGGAATTGTTTTCGCTTTTGAATTACGATGACATAATGACTTTATCACAGCCAAAGCTACGGAAAACAAATTGTTTGACGAAATAAGTAAGGGGTGAGTGATGTATTTGATTTGATGCTTTCGTGACTGCCGAAATTACTCTTTGGTTATTTCGGTAAAGTCACGTAGAAATAAATAATATAAAATAATAATAGAATACGACGTTTCGATTGCAACACAAGCAACCGTCATCAGGTAAGAATAAATGAGAAAACAAACCTAGTAAACATAAAAATATAATGCAATACAACACAAGGAGTCGGCTAACACAAGAGTCAACACCCTACCTGGTTGATTACGTTCTTCCAAAGATTGCTAAATTTGAGAGAGAGAGACAAAACACAGACACGGAGACACACAGACAGACACACAAGCAGAGAGAGAGACACACACAGAGACACGCTTGTTTTCCCATTCATTCTTACCTGATGATGGTTACTTGTGTTTCAATCGAAACGTCGTATTTTATAATTTAATTTATTTTCTTTCTACGTAACTTTACCGAAAGAACCAAACAGTGAGTGATTTATATTTGATGAATTCACCTTCGAGTCGAATACACGTTTCCATTTCACATGCGTGAATAAACAAATGTTTGACGAGCTCATAGTTTTTTTTCTCGACATGTGACACACAGTTGCATACTTAGACCCATCGCTCCAATTACATTCATGGCGTGCGCGGACTCGGTGCATGGAGAGAATTCTTGTCTCATCGGAGAATCGTTTGCGCACGATGGCGTAGGAGCGAGTGCATGGCGGACGGGGTGATACGAGCCAGGCAGCACCTCAAGCGATTCGAGTCCTTGCTGCAGCAACTGGCACTGCCTGGTCCGAGCCCCGACGCTCTGCTCAATCTCAACAATAACCTGGCGCGTCTGCTCTCCGACATCGCCACGAAGTACGTCCGTGTGCAGGGGCTGTAGCCCAGTCGATGATGCGCGCTGTGTGTGTGCTGCTGTTCCACTATGTCTCGGCCGGATCGAGGGGGCTAAACGGGCGCGGCACGGGCTAGAGAAGAGATGGAGTGATGTGGTACAGGAGGACGTGGAGCTGAGTGGACTTGCCGATGACTGGTACCAGCGGTGTCAAGATCGGCCTCTGTGGAGGAGGCTCGTGAAGGACGCTACTGGGCAGTTGGAGGCAGTCGCCCTCCAACAACAACGGAGGGCGGAGGAGCAACGCTCACAACAACGAGAGGAGCGCCGGGTGGCTAAAGCACAGCAAGTTGGCACAGTAGGGGGCACAGGTGGTGCATTAGCCAGTCGTCTCAGTCAGTCGACCCGTGGCACCTGGGTCTGCCCCGTGACCTCCTGCCAGCGGGCGTTCGACACTTCACGTGGCCTCAAGGTGCACATAGCCTGGCACAAGCGTCGTGGTGACGTCACCGCCACTTAGTGGCGAATGGCGGTTGTTCTTGTTGTTGTTGTTCCACTATCGCCACGGATGGTATCGTGGCAACGTTTCAAGGGCAGTGCGCTTTGTCAACGCGTTCCGCTCGCGAACTTGCGGCCCCATTCTGCCAAGCAAGTGGCATCACAGAAGAGGCGCTGCCACCCGATGCTTTCCTCACTTCGCTGACATGCTATTGGGAAGGATCACCCTTCAGATGCATTTGGATGCCCTGAAGATCAAAGCTGTGATTGCAACAGCGTATTAATTCTAGATTTGAAGCTTTCGTGACTGCAAGGATTCATACTCTCAGGTTTTTTCGGTAAAGTACCATCTTATTTGACAGGTACTATTCTACTTTACCGAGTGTTGACATCCCCAGAGTTTAACAGTACTGCTTTCTTCTTTTATTTTGATTATCAGCTAACACCGGCCACAACCCCAAGTAGATGCGCACCAATTGTTCTCTTTTAGCCCCCCCCCCCCCACCGTTCCATTCCCTCGCTACCACATTCAGATAAGGCCCTCTCCCCCTTAACGTGTATTTAAGATCTTGTCTCTTGGAATTTGCCTCACTTGATAGAGTGAATTTAGCTGTGACTGTCCCACCTGATGACGGAGACTTGTGTTGCCTCCGAAACGTCGTGATTTATTATTTTATTTCTATTATTTTTTATTTAAATTTTTTACCGACGTGACTTTACCGAAAAAAACCCGAGAGTATTGTAACAGCGATTCGTTCGTTGGAGTGAGCGTCTCTCTGTAGAGCTCACCGTGTTTGGATTTCTGCTTCACGCTCTGTCGGTGCGTGATGGAACCTTCTAAAATTACTATAAAATGCCTTCACTCCTGCCGAAACTACTGCCGGTTTCCTATACCGGGGTTAAATTCACATCCGATAGCTTCCCAATTGCGTAAGTTTAATCCCACATCCTCTTACCCAATTGTCATCCAAATTCTCATAAATACGCTTTGGTTCTTTCGGTAAAGTCACGTAGGTATAAAATAAAATAGATCACGACGTTTCAGGTGCAACACAAGCGTCCATCATCAGGTGGGAAAGCACGGTCTGCTACTGAGGCAGACTGTTTTAAAAGGTTTGAAATGGGTGTAGCTCAAGAGTCATAAAGAAGTGGCCGGGGCTAGTGATGTTAAAGTGAGAAATTAGCATGTAACTGGGCACGGAAAGTAGCTATGATAATGTGAGAGATTAGCATGAAATAACAGCTGACATAGGCATATTTGAATCCCAAACAAAATGTGACTATTTTTAGGCTTCATTTATTAGATGTATTTACATTCTGCACTTATTTTGTTCCTCTTGTTCAAGAAGCAAGCACATTCATTTGTTTAATGAATACTCATTGTATTGACAAACTAGAGATAGTGGATCGTCAGCAGCAGCTGCAACAGCAGCATGCAAGACACAAGTACAACACGTGCTGACAGTCACTTACAGCTGTGATCCATCTTTCCACCTCCTACGTGTGTCTTTGTGCTATAATATGCCAGAGAAAGGACGGAAATAATCCATAGTAATTTGTGCTGAAAATAAAGATTTCACATTTGGACTTGCACGCATCGGGAGTTTGCTCATAATTTTTATAATCAACCATAATTTACAAACATCACTGCACCGTGTTAATTTGGCTAAAGTGAAATAAAGAGTGCACGATCCACACCATTAATTCCCCTTCTTGTGCTAACATCAGAAGCTGTTGACTCCATTGCAGCCAGTAGTTTTCTTTAGAAACTACGTCTTGATAATTGTTTTTTTACCCTTCTATCTGGCAACAAAACTGACACCTTTTTTACAAAGAGTCATGTTTGCATAGACCACAATACCTGTAGCCATAATGCAAACAAAAAACATAACTCTGATGATATATGCACTGTCCTTGAAGTTGATTGGTCCACACCCGAGACAGCTTTCCTTAGAGCCTAGTCTCACATGGGTTGGACCAGATGACGCCAAAAGGCGCACAACTCAAAGACAATGCACCATCAGAGTATTTGCCAGTAAAAAATATAATTAGGTTTTTTACCCTTTTATCTGGCAACAAAACTGACACCTTTTTTTACAAAAAAAGGTGTCAGTTTTGTTGCTAAACTACATCTTGTCTTGTTGGCTCATGATTGTTAGCTGTCTAATATATAGCAGAGACAAACGGCAGACTGAGGCATTGGTGGAAATTCGTCATTCCTCTTGCGGGACTCAGTCTCTCCAGGAGACAATCCGTATTTACTCCAACTTCGATTTAACTTTGGAACCTACCAAATATAAATTGGGTGTTCAGCTTTGCCAGAGGTGAGGGACTTTGCAACAGGCGAGGGATCTAGCAGAAGGAAACAAGTGAAGGCCAATGCTGATGGCATTATCAACATGGGCCATGATGTTCTGTATGTTGGCACTTCTTTTGCACCGTACGTAGCCAACCTGTGCTAATCGGTGGGTTGCGGGGGGGAGGACAACAAACTAACCACAAAAAGCAGTTCGGTTCAACCGGTGGATGGAAAGACAACACAATACAATATTTACAAATACTTTTTTTAAAACACGGTTTAATGAAATGTACTGTCCGAGCTGCCCCTCCCCCTGACCCCTTCCCCCATCGCCCCTCCCCTCCTTCCACATCCCCCGCCCCTCGGCGGGTGATTTAGAGGCAACGTGAGTTGAGCGTCGACAATTAGAGCCGTTAAAAATATTGTTTTCAAATATTTTATTTTAATTTTAATGATAGAATATAGTATTGTCATCAGTATGACATACCTATACCAAGTTTGCAGTCGATACGACATTGGGAAGATGGCTGAAATTGAGTTACACGATTTGAGGATACAACAGAGTGAGTTAAATAAAAGGGTGTAAAATGTTTATAAAAAAATTTTTATTTTAATGATATAATATAGTTTTGTCATCGGTATGACATAAGTATACCAAGTTTAGCTTTCGATAGCACATTGGGAAGTGGGTAAAAATTGAGTTACAAATGTTTTTTTGAGGATACGACAACAGACAGACGGAACGAGTTAAATAAAAGCGTGTAAAATAAAAACAAAAAATCAGTACAACTCTTGACATGCACCGGGCCCCCTGCGACAGGACGCTGGTGATGGAACGTCAGCCACCGCAGGTGCTCAAGACGCAAACCAAGTTTGGCTGCAGCCTGCGCTTCTTGGCCGGAAGCAAGCTGGAGCTGACGGGGAGCCTCCCACACGTGCACGCCACCATCGTGAGCGAGGCGCAGGCGCGAGCCCTCCACGTTGGACACCACCCACGCAAGTGAGCGCACGCAAGGTGGCAGGGGGGCGGTGCGCACGTGTTCTTGTGCGCATGGTTTAACGTCCCCCAAACAACACGAATCGCATACAGCAGACGAGCAACTCCTTACTCTTAGGTTTTTTCGGTAAAGTCACGGAGGTAAAAAATAAAATTAAAAGTAATAATAGAAATAAAATAATAAATCACGACGCTTCGGAGGCAACACAAGTCTCCGTCATCAGGTGGGACCATCACAGCTAGATTCACTGTATCCAGTGAGGCAAAAAATTCCAAGATACAAGTTCTTAAATACAAGTTATCTGAGTGTGGTAGCCAATGAATGGAACGTGTTGGGGGTGGGGGGGGGCTAAAAGAGAATAACTCCTTGCCTACAATGCGGGTCCCATGCTTCCGCTCAGGGCTCTCACCCCACTTGTGCACAAGGAAATTATGCTGCTGCTAGCTGTTATCCGGAGTCATCATCATCATCATCAGCGGGTGGACAGGCGAATTTGTGGGGGAGCGGGAGTGCGGTGGTTAGCGCACTGCGCAATGAAGCCGGCAAGCCGAGTTCGATTCCGGCTCACGGCTAACGTCAGTGACGAATATCGGTCATAGGCCTTCCCCTAGGTCGACTCAGCTTTAAATGAGTACCTGGTGTGTAAACGTGAGCACTTGAGAGACAAAGGTGGACAGGCATTATGTTGGCGACCCTACCCCTAGGTATTCATAGGTGCTCGCTAACAGCACTTGCCGTCCAACAATCTCTTGCAGTGCTACATGCACTGTGCAGCAATGGTGGTTACCTGGGTTTGATTTGCAGGCGACGAATGATTTGCAGCTGACGAATATCTGACCTGTTCCTGGGCCTCCCCTAGGTCGACTCGGCCTCAAATGAGTACCTGCGTAAACATGTACACCGAGGAGACACGGGTGGTGCACCGTCTGCTCCACAGTGGCTGTTAAATATCCCAGTGACATCATTTGAAAAAAATTAACCCGTAAAAACAAAGTTTTTCACTATAAATCCTTTATATGCGTGGCGGCTAGAGTCCTCTCGTCCTCTGGCTTGAGATGGCTGCCACATATGAGTCAGATGATTGTCTGCCAGCATTAAGCAATTGGTAATTAAATAGAATTTATTTTTTCCTATAAAGTGTAAAATTTTGGGGAAAAAATTTCACGAAAATAAATTGTCACGCACAACGAGTCGGTGTGCAAAATGTCAGCTCGATTGGATCACGGGAAGTGGGTTAAAAAACGACCGAAAGATTTGCACGGTCGTAAGCGCGCAAGCAAGCAAGCAAGTGAACTTAATATAAAGGATTTAAAAGAGTGGCCCACATGTGCAGGCGTGAACTGCATCACCTTGTGCACCACAGGGACAGCTCCCAATGGGGATCCCCTGAGTTAGATCGCTGCAGGACAATGAAATGGTTGAGATGAGATACGATTTATGGCAATTAAGAGCCCTAGAATTGTAATCCTTATGGATAATGTCGTGGCACGTACAATGTGAACCTGTCCTGGCTCATGGCGATAATGATGAGTGTTGATTTCGACGCTCAAGTGAGCAAGGGGGCAAAGCGAATAGAACTTCCACAGTCTCCCCATCTGATCAACACATTTGACTTCCCGCAAAGTTGTGCTCAGCTTCAAATGAGTGCCTGGTGTTATAGGGAGTCGTAATTCTATCATGGTTTGACTGCTGCGCCGTATTACTCGTCACATTTGTCCCTATTGAGATAAGTGCTTCTTTGTGAGCACCTATGCAAGGGAGAATGGCACAGGAGTGGTCAGAAGTGTTACCGCAGCCATGCCCAGGTGCCTTTGTCACCAGTTTTGACATCAAGGCGCTAATTTTATAGCGGAGGCAACGAAAGGATATCCCGGGAACAGGTTTTTGAAGCAATTCGTGCAAAAAATATGTTCTGGAGGTGTTGCATTGAGACACAAAGCCTCCAGGGAGGACGGACACACAGCGGTTGACCTCGTGCCTCTACTGGATATCCTTGAAAAAAAGAGCTTCATAGCTTTTCAGATTTCTCCAGGATAAATCAAAATTCTGCTTCTGCTCCCTTTAGCGAGGTGAGCGGCGAAATCCACAACAACAATACCGTCATGGAGTACCAGCAGGGATCGGGAGCGCTGATGGCAAACTTCCGCAGCATGGTAAGCGTGAGAGTGGCTGACCAAACCGTGTGGCCTCCAGACCATCTTCCATCCCGATTTGAAGCTTTCGTGACTGCAGGAATCCACACTCTTTGGTTCTTTCGGTAAATTCACGTAGGTAGAAAATAAAATAAATCACGACATTCTTGGCTCATTATAGTAGTAATTCGCGATGGAGTAATTTCTTGCCATTACCAAATGTCACTAAAAGTTAAAGGAACAACACATTGTGCAAAGTTTTACTTTGAATTTATTTAGTCAACTGTGGTGCATTCCTAATACTGGTTTTTTTTGGGGTTAGATCATTTAAATATAAATGTGTCGTTTAACCCGCCACCACCCGACACAGCCAATTGTCATGGAAACAACGTGCCAATTCATTATTAGTACAGCACACCGGTGTGTTGGAGAGCCAAGCCACAACATTTACAATCTGAGTACGGCATTTCGCCAGTAATTACAGCTAGCTTCATCGGGCGACAGTCAGATTTGTGGATAAATCTTCCTGTTTCGTTCCTTAAATAGAGGAATATATGTGATGACGTCACTTGTCAGCCCTTCTTGTGCGAAGGGGGGGGGGGGTAATGAATACATGTAAATTACAATGGGTATCCATTGTCTGTTGGGGTTTTCATATGGTAATCAATGTACATTATGCAAGGTACATTTGTGGTGGTGTCACAGTGCCAAGCCCTCTCCAGCCTCTAGTCCAGCTGGGTGCCACTACAATTAAGAGCCATCTACCCCGCATCAAAAGGCTATGATTGTGTTTATCCCGGGTGGAAAATAACTCAGTCTATCATCCCTTTGGGAAGTCAAATGTGTTGATCAGATGGGGAGACTGTGGAAGTTCTATTGGCTTTGCCCACTTGCTCACTTGAGCGGGGAGATTGATATTCTCATCATCATCATCATCATGAGCCATGATCAATACACTGCTGGATGAAGTATTCCCCAAGCCTTCGCTATCCCTCACGATACTGTGATGCAACAATTCACCTGGCATCTGTACACGCATGCTGATTGCATCACCGCTCCATCTGCCCAATTGACGTATTCTCAGATGTGTTCCATCCCTTGACTACCAGTCATCAACCACTTCTTGTGGTCATGCGTTACCCAGGCCCACTTACTTTTATTTACAGCTTAAATTACGTATTTATCCTCCGTACGTTCTCTAATCCATGGCTCCCCCTTTTATCTCTCAATGTGCGGCACAACACACGTACATATTGCATCCTAACAATTCACAATGTTACTGTGATCCTCCAGAATGAATCGTGTTTTTCTTCCTCATGTTCCCTTGTGTTCTTTGGTCTCCATTAGTTCGATTCTAATCCTTATTAGGGCCTCCTTAGACAACCTCCACAGTCATGTGATTGTCTCATGGGTTGTTACCGGTTTTCAATGGTACAACTGTCACGCCGCGACTGATGACTCCTCCCTGCTGCTGCTGTCCGGTCTCAGCTGCTGAAAAAGATTCGACGCTCGGACCGACGCGGCTCAGAGTCGGTCACCGAGGAGAAGTTTGCAATCCTCTTCCAGGCAACGCTCAACACTGGGGACGGCGAGTTCATGCTACATGCCCAGGTGCAGCACGCTCACAGCGCAGCCACAGCAACCGCACCCTTCAACCGCACTTTCCAACCACTCTGTTCAATCGCACCCTTCAACCGCACTTTCCAACCGCACCATTCAACCACACCGTTCAACCGCACTCTTCAACCAAACCCTTCAACCGCACTTTTCAATCACACTGTTCAACCGCACTTTCCAACCGCACCGTTCAACCGCACTCTTCAACTGCACTCTTCAACCAAACTCTTAAACCGCACTCTTCAATGGCATGCGACAATCAGACGCTACACCCACAATGCCTCAACCACGGGGCACTGACCACACTCGCTGACCATTTGCCACATCCACTCACTCGGGCCGCACAAACTTAAGCACTCAACGGTGCATCAATTAAAACTGAAATAAATTCTTGGGCTCACAATCCACGCATTGGATCGTGCGTGTGAGAATCAATGATTTACGATTCATTATTTGGAAATGGCACGCTGACGTTACAATTAATCCAATGAAGCGAACAAAACTTTACGAATGAGAAACTGAGCACATCTTGGTTCTTTCGGTAAAGTCACGTAGAAGGGAAATAAATAAATAAATACAAATATTAAATACAATATAATTTTATTATTTCCCTTCTACGTGACTTTACCGAAAGAACCAAGAAGATGAATCCCTGCAGTCACGAATGCTTTAAATCGAAACTAAGCACAAACAAAATGGCGTCCGGGTGTGGCACTGGCCTCAACATCTCTTTGTGCTCGTGAAGGAAGCACCTCTAGACTAATGAGGCAAGGTCAGGTCGAGGTACCATACATTTTTTTAAACACATTTACTATGTTGAGTCAAATCTAAATTGTTTTTTTTTTATCGGGTTTACAACAGTGGCGGCTCCTGCAAAATCTCTCAGGGGGGGCAAATGTCTGGATGATTGATAAGGATAAGGTCCACCCATGCAATGAATAAATTAACAGCTTAAGCATGTAAAGGCAACTTCACTTCTTTAATATTAATGAAAAATAAAGTGACTCTTACAATACATCTTGTTTGTTTATATACTCACTATTAAAACAAACCACTCAAGTTTATTTTATTAAAGATTCCACTAGGTGCGATAAATTATATTGTTGGATGAAACGTGCTTACGTATGATGACGTTAGCACGTATGATGACGTAAGCACGTTAGGGCTTGCCCTCCCGGAAGCCATAGAGAATGCATTGCAGTGTCCCCGTTCGAAAAAAAACATCTTTCAATGTAAGTCTATGGGGCCACTCGGGGCGATTCTCAGCCGGAGTGAAATCGCCCAAAAAGAGGCGGTACTCCACAGAACGTGACATGACGCTGATTGGACTATATCCAGAGGCTGACAGTGACGGCTAGCGTGACTCTGTGGTTGAATGACATTGGTGGTGCGTCGCCCAATCGCCCTAATGAAGAAACCGCCCCTGGTTTACAATGTAGTGAGGGGGTCTTATATATTTAGGCCTTATTAAGAAGACACATTGTTCCACAATAGCAATGCTAAATGCTCACTAACTGACACTCTGTGAGACTATGACATATTTGTCTGGGTGTGTGTCACGTGGTGTGTGTGTGGTGCGTATACTGCTCTGTGACAGCGAGCCCTTCGGCAATTCGCGTGTTCTCAAAGTCCACCTTGCCTGGCACTGTGATGACGTCACAGCCACTTAGTGGCAAATGGCAGCTGCTGTTGTGTGTGTGCAGTGCTCTTGTGGGGTGGGGTAGTGTCGTGGTCAGCGTGCTGCTCTACACAGCTGGCAACCCGAGTTTGATTCTCGTTCACGGCCAATACCAGTGACAATTATCTGGACTGGTCCTGGGCCTCCTCTAGGTTGACTCAGCCTCAAATGAGACAAAGGCTGGCCGGCCACCCCCTCGTGTGCCGTGCCAGCCTTTATAGGTGCCCGCTAACAGCACTTGCACCCAAAGGATGTTAAGGCTATATGGGGAATCTTGCTGTTTGTGTGGTGTGTATATTGCTCTGTGCCAGGTGCTGTCCTTACCTGTGGTGGTGATTGTCCACGGGAGTCAGGAGAACAACGCCACCGCCACGGTGCTGTGGGACAATGCCTTCTCCGAGCCGGTAGGTGTGGTTTCGTTGTCCACCTTTAGTTGTGCGGAGTTCAAATGTAACCGGGTTACATGTTGCACGTACAATACTTACCTACATAAGCTGAGCCACAGTGCCTTCAGTGACATTCGCATGAGATTTCGTGTTTGCCTTGCAAAGCAGATTTCCTTTGAAATTTCTTTTTGAACAAGTAAATAATTTTGATTTGGTAATAAAAAAATGTAATCGACAAAATAATGAAAATCATTGCAAAAGTTGCCGCGTGTTCCCCGTGTATTCCTGTGCGCCGTGCAGCGCCGATTGCCCTTCCAGGTGCCAGAAGCGGTGCCCTGGAGTCGCCTCATGGCTGTCCTGGATAGCAAGTTCCGCTCGGAGGTGGACAGCCCCACGGGACTGTGCACCGACAGCGTGACCTTCCTCGCCCACAAGGCCTTCGGCTACTCAAGCGGGGCCGACGACCTCGCTGACCGCACCATCTCCTGGGCGCAGTTTAACCGGGTAGAGAGCAACACGGAGCACCGGAGAGATGTCCTGGTTAATGCCGATGCCAATCAGACTAAATCCACTCAATAAAGAAAAACTATTTTTATTTGACCAGGTAAAGCCCACTGAGATATACAGCTCTTTATCAGAAGCTAGCTGGCTATCACAAATGATAGTCCAACGAAGTGGCTTATCACGTGGAAATGTATAGCTGCCAAATACTCTGAGCGCACGTTTCTAAACGTGGAGGGAAAAACCGGATGACCCCGAGAAAAATGCACGCGTCCACGGGGAGAAACATGCAAACTCCAAATAGACATGCATCAGGGTCGGGATCCAACCTACAACCTCCTCCATACCAGGCGAGGGAGATAACATCTCGCCACCACTACGCCAACAGTAATCCCATCACCAGTACTTCAGGCAGCACAATGAACAATCAGCAAGGTTGCTTTGCACTAGTGTTTCTGGGTTAAACCTCAATACCCATTTATACCGCTGCATGGGGGATGAGGCTGGAGGGATTTAAGAAACTTGCCTATTTCTTCAAATGCCACTTCGGGCGATCGAACTGACCACATTTGGAGTGCATGTTTAGTGTGCTAACCATGATACCATGGCAGCATGAATAATATATAATAAAAATATGTTTAATATTATAATATAATCATATATAATACCCTTTCTTTACAACCCGGAAAACTTCCATGAGTCTTCAGACCTTTTTTTCAGGAGCATCCATAGTTCTTTAGCATTTGGGCATATAATGTAAGTGTTTGGAGAAACCCCACACACAAACGAGGGGGTAGAACTAAAAGCTCCACACAGGAACATTTAAGATTCCATCAGTGTGCTGCCATCTCCTTGCTACTTTACAGCTCAAGCCCACAACAGCTGGTATTGCGACCCAGTCTCCCATCTAAGCACTAACCAGGTCCAAACCTGCTTAGCTTCTGATTAGAGGGATCTGATGAGATTGGGGACATTCACGGTGATTTGGCTGTCGGCTTAATGGACTTAAGAGTCAGGGTTGCCGTTGACAAGTACGGACTGAAATCTCTCACCACCATTGTTATTCACACAGTTGTGCTTCAGAGGGTAAATTTAGAGGAGTAACGTTGCAGGCGATGGGCCCTTCTGCTGTCGTGCAGGAAAACCTTCCCGGTCGCACCTTCACCTTCTGGCAGTGGTTTGACGGTGTCATGGAACTCACCAAGAAGTACCTAAAGAGCCACTGGAACGACGGGTCAGTGTGCACTTCCTCGTAACGTCATTCCGCCAAACCGTCTGGATATTTCGGTTTTGTATGGTGTTGCTAAGTGGTTTATTTGGCGCGGCTTAGTCTGGTTTGTTCGGCGTGCCTAAGTCATGGTAAATCCAGCAGCGGATTGACCATGGCTATCGATGAGGATAATGAATTCCGCGGGCAAGCGGAAGCTCTGCTGTGCCTTTTGACGCTGCTCGTGCCGCGTGGGCTCCAGGGCCATCGTGGGTTTCGTGAGCCGAGCGCAGGCACAGGACATGCTGTTGTCACTGCCCGCGGGCACCTTCCTGCTTCGCTTCAGCGACTCCGAGATTGGGGGCGTCACCATCGCATGGGGGGCGCAGATGCCCGGTCAACCAGGTGAGCGGTTCTTGGAGGCTGAACATTTGTGCTACTTCACCCCCCCCCCCGCCCCACCGCCTGTGTGTGGGATCGGTCTTTGAGTACGAGCGAGGGTCTTTTCCACTAACACTAGAGTTGGGTTATATGGGCAATCCTAATATTGGCGATATCATACGTATAAACATAGTGTTGTTATAGCTACCGGTATCACAGCTACTGTCATTGCAAGCTGTGACGGGTCTCGCTTAAGAAATGTTGCATTGGTATTGCCCAATTTCGGGATATCTGTTTTCCAATATAGAGTAACGTAAACAATATCTGGCACTAGCCAACATCACGGTGTTTATTATATCGAGCAATAAATGAACGTTTACACAACCTTGAGATATTGCGATCCTAGAATTTATCGGGCAATATGCAATCTTATAATATTACTACTCACTCACTGATGTCAAAGCAATATATCTCACCACGATGCCCCTCTCGTGAAATTGTGTTTATTGGATGAAACAAATTGAGACTAACGCTCATTCATTTCAGAAAGTTTTCTTAGCCAAGATCACTTTGAACCCCCCAACCCCCCGCAAACAATACCACATCTAATAATCATCACCACCACCACCACATAGCTGGATTGCTCACTAAAGGCAGAATTGATTGGTGAGCATATTCAAAGGTTTAAATAGTGGCATGAGGATATCTTGATGGGACAGTGGAGCATCACCTCGTATCCAGTGCTGGGAGAATAGCCGAATTGCCAAATGCTTCCATGAAGATGCCCCCTGTTCGCTAGCACCCTCCCCGCATGCCACAAGTAAGGGTGACAGTTTTTTTTGACCAAGTTGCCACGACGACGAGATAAGTGCTTTATGATGCTTTTGCATATTTTTAAATCCTTTATATTAAGTTCGCTTGCTTGCTTGCGTGCTTGCTTGCTTACGACCGTGCAAATCTTTCGGTCGTTTTTTAACCCACTTCCCGTGATCCAATCGAGCTGACATTTTGCACACAGACTCGTTGTGCGAGACAATTAATGTTCGTGAAAATTTTTTTCCAAAATTTTTCACTGTTTAGGGAAAACAAATTAAATATTTAATTACCAATTGCTTAATACTGGCAGACAATCATCTGACCCATAGGTGGCAGCCATCTCAAGCCAGAGGACGAGAGGACTCTAGCCGCCACGCATATGAAGGATTTAGAGTGAAAAACTTTGTTTTTACGGGTTATACTTATTCCGAGGGTAATTTGCTCAGCCTTACTTGAGTACTTGGGTGGTGTGTTGTGCTGACTGGACCACCACACTCTAGTGTCTTGTCGGCCTCCAAAGGTGCTCGCCAACAGAACTTTCCCCAGCAGTGTGTATCACGACATGAGAAATGTTTAACTTTGTAGGCAGCGGTGGTGCAGTAGTTTGCACAATGTTCTATAGTTCTGGCGACCTGCCAAGTAAAATCTGCACCTGTTCTTGCAACACCAGCCCATCGTGGGCCATGACAGCCTTAATAGTTGCTCATTAACAGCACTTGCCCCAACGGTGTGTATAGCTATATGAGCAATCTTTGTCATTTTGTGTGTCCGTATGGGTTCTAGATTTGAAGCTTTCGTGACTGCAAGGATTCATACACTTAGTTTTTTTTTTCAGTAAAGTCACGTGGGTAAAAAATTTAATTTAATTAATGAAAACAACTAAATTAAATCACGACGTTTCGGGCGCAACACAAGCGTCCGTCATCAGGTGGGAAAGCATGGCCTGCTGCTGATGCAGACTGTAAAAAAAAACGTCGTGATTTAATGTACTTGTTTTCATTTAATTAATTAAATGTTTTACCTACGTGACTTTACCGACAAAACCAAAGAGTGTACGTATGGGGTTTGTCCAGGGCCGGATTGAGGCAAGGGGGGTTTTAGGGGCTGCAGCCTCTGCCAGCTGGAGGACCTCCAGAGATTTAAGTGAAACGTTATTTAATTTGTGAATGCTGAATTTTATTTGTTGTTAGCCTTGTAAAAATACTATTGTATTTTTCTTTAACTTTGTTTTCATTTTTAAAGCATTCCTGGGGGGGGGGGGGGGGGGGGCTCACAGTACCTGTAACCCAGGGGCCGACACAATCTTAATGCGGCCCTGGGTTCGGCCGGTAGATGTCATGGATGCTTGTCCTATCAGGACCTTCGGCACATGCTTTACTTGAAGTTCTCTCTGTAGTTTTTGGATCATTAGATCTATTAGTGGAGGGGGGGGGGGTGCTACCAGCCCCTCGTACACACCCCCATTCGCCACTGTGATAGATGTGAGCATCTGATTTTAGCCCTTCCCCCAGTGGCAATGCTCACAACACACCACAGTGTTTATATCTGACACCACAAGGAAGTGGGGGATGGTTGTTTTTCCAAGCGCTAGCCTGGGCTATAAAAAAAAAGTGCACATAGCCTGGCACAGGTGCTGCGGTGATCTCACCATCTCTTAGTGCAGCGAATGACGGCTTCCGATGTGTGTGTGTGTGTGCTGTGCGTATAAGGGGGAGCGGTGATGTAGCGGTTAGCACGCTGCGATATGAACCTGGCGAAGCGAGTTAAATTCCTACTCACAGCCAACACCAGTGACGATTATCTGAACCCGTCCTGGGTCTTCCCTAGGTCAACTTAGCCTCAAAACGAGGCTAAGTCGACCATTGCAGTTGACCAGGGGTTAAGTCGACCATTGCCGTGCCGGTCTTCATAGGTGCTACTCACTAACAGCACTGACCCCAACGGTGATCTTTGTGTCGTGCGTGTACACGACAGGCGAGCGGATCGTGTGGAACGTGAAGCCGTTCACGGCGCGCGAGCTGGCCATGCTGCCCCTGGCTGACCGCGTGCGGGATCTGGACAGCCTCCAGCTGCTGTACCCGGCCCGGCCCAAGGACCATGCCTTTGCCAAGTACTACAGCCCGCCGCGTGAGTACCAGACTCGTGGAGACGCCACGTGCCCCATGAGCGGCACCCAGCACTGGGCATCACTGTGTTCGCAGAGTTCCGACATTTTTTTGGCTTCTTTCTAATCTAGACTATGCAGGGTGTGTGGGAAAGTACTGAGTGAGTGGGTGAGTGAGTGGGTGAGTTAGTGGGTGAGTTAGTGTGTGGGTGAGTGGATGAGTTAGTGGGTGAGTGAGTGGTAAGTTAGTGGTGAGTGGGTGAGTGAGTGGGTGGGTTAGTGGGTGAGTTAGTGGCGAGTGGGTGAGTGAGTGGGTGAGTGAGTGGTGAGTTAGTGGTGAGTGGGTGAGTGAGTGAGTGGTGAGTTAGTGGTGAGTGGGTGAGTGAGTGGGTGGGTAAGTGGGTGAGTTAGTGGCGAGTGAGTGGGTGATTGAGTGGGTGAGTGAATGGGTGATCGAGTGGGTGATTGAGTGGGTGAGTGAGTGGGTGAGTGAGTGGGTGAGTGAGTGTGTGGGTTAGTGGCGAGTGGGTGAGTGAGTGGGTGAGTGAGTGGGTGGGTTAGTGGGTGAGTGAGTGAGTGGGTGAGTGATTGAGTGGGTGAGTGAGTGGGTGAGTGAGTGGGTGAGTGAGTGGGTGAGTGAGTGATTATGTGGGTGAGTGAGTGGGTGAGTGAGTGGGTGGGTGAGTGAGTGGGTGAGTGAGTGGGTGAGTGAGTGATTGAGTGGGTGAGTGAGTGTGTGGGTGAGTGGGTGAGTTAGTGGGTGAGTGAGTGGGTGAGTTAATGGGTGAGTGAGTGGGTGAGCGAGTGATTGAGTGGGTGAGTGAGTGGGTGGGTTAGTGGGTGAGCGAGTCATTGAGTGGGTGAGTGAGTGGGTGGGTTAGTGGGTGAGTTAGTGGGTGAGTGAGTGGGTGAGTGAGTGGGTGGGTTAGTGGATGAGTGAGTGGGTGAGTGGGTGAGTGAGTGGTGAGTGAGTGGGTGAGTGAGTGGGTGAGTGAGTGATTGAGTGGGTGAGTGAGTGGTGAGAGAGTGGGTGAGTGAGTGGGTGAGTGAGTGAGTGAGTGAGTGGGTGATTGAGTGGGTGAGTGAGTGGGTGAGTGAGTGGGTGAGTGAGTGTGTGGGTGAGTGAGTGGGTGAGTGAGTGAGTGAGTGAGTGGGTGAGTGAGTGGGTGAGTGAGTGGGTGAGTGAGTGGGTGAGTGAGTGTGTGGGTGAGTGAGTGGGTGAGTGAGTGAGTGGGTGGGTGAGTGAGTGGGTGAGTGAGTGGGTGCGTGAGTGGGTGAGTGAGTGGGTGAGTTAGTGGGTGAGTGAGTGGGTGAGTGAGTGAGTGAGTGGGTGAGTGAGTGGGTGAGTGAGTGGGTGAGTGAGTGGGTGAGTGAGTGGGTGAGTGAGTGTGTGGGTGAGTGGGTGAGTTAGTGGGTGAGTGAGTGGGTGAGTGAGTGGTGAGTTAGTGGTGAGTGGGTGAGTGAGTAGGTGAGTGAGTGGGTGAGTGAGTGAGTGGGTGAGTGAGTGAGTGGTGAGTGAGTGTGTGAGTGAGTGAGTGGGTGAGTGAGTGAGTGAGTGGTGAGTGAGTGAGTGGGTGAGTGAGTGGGTGAGTGAGTGAGTGGGTGGTGGGTGAGTGAGTGGGTGAGTGAATGGGTGAGTGAGTGGGTTAGTGGGTGAGTGGGTGAGTGAGTGTGTGAGTGTGTGAGTGAGTGGGTGAGTGAGTGAGTGGGTGAGTGAGTGAGTGGGTGAGTGAGTGGGTTAGTGGGTGAGTGAGTGGGTGAGTGAGTGGGTGAGTGAGTGGGTTAGTGGGTGAGTGGGTGAGTGAGTGAGTGAGTGGGTGAGTGAGTGTGTGAGTGAGTGAGTGAGTGTGTGAGTGAGTGGGTGAGTGAGTGGGTGAGTGAGTGGGTGAGTGGGTGAGTGAGTGGGTGAGTGAGTGGGTGAGTGAGTGAGTGGGTGAGTGAGTGGGTGGGTTAGTGGGTTAGTGGCGAGTGGGTGAGTCAATAACAATCTGTGGAATGTTAGTCAAGTCTTAGTCTTTCAATTTCATGTCATCATTAAATAGAAAATGCTGACACTGTGACTAGTGTCGTTTAGTCAGCATAGTGTATATATATAAATGACTCCTTCCAGTGTTAGATATCAGCATTTCTTCCGTCAATGACGAAGTGAAATCCAGAGACGAAGCCTCAATTAAAGTTCCACGCGTTGACTAATCCTAGAAAAGAAAATAACACTTTGAAAGCTGATCATTGGTTTTTTCCCCTTTTATCTGGCAACAAAACTGACACTTTTTTTTACAAGGAGTCGTGTTTGCATCGACCACATGCAAGCAAAAAACACAATTCTGATCATGTATGCACTGTCCTTGAAATTGAATCGTCCACACCCGAGACAGCTTTTCTTAGAGCCTAGTCTCACATGGTGTTGGACCAGATGACGCTAGTGCGTACATTATCAGAGTTGTGTTTTTTGTTTGCATTCCGACCGCAGGAATTGTGGTCAATGCAAACATGACTCCTTGTAAGAAAGGTGTCAGTTTTGTTGCCAGATAAATGGGTAAAAAAAACAATTATCATATTTCGCTACTGGCAAAGGAGGTTCCAATGGTGTACGTTGAATGCTGATGAAATGAACACCGACCACACGCCCTCAGCAGTGACACGAAGCAGGAGACCAGCAAGGTGCACGTCGCGATGAACAAACGCTGCTGCCTCAGCGGATGAGGGCTTTGTTTGATTCCCTGTGTCTGCAGAGAGTTTGGGGGGGGGGAACGTAACCCAGCAGTGTTAACAGGTCTCCATGTTTTTTTTCTTTCATCAAATCACTGTATCATAAATAAGCGACATATAACCCGTCAGCTTCATGGCTGTGATTCAGAAGTCGGGGTTGCATGTCGCAAGAATTACGTCTTTAAATTTCGATTTAAAGCTTTCGTGACTGCAGGGATTCATCTTCTTGGTTCTTTCGGAAAAGTCATCATAACATCATAAAATACAATTCTCACGACGTTTCGGCCACAACGCAAGCAGCCGTCCTCAAGCTGAAACGTCGTGAGAATTGTATTTTATTATGTTTTATTTTTATTATTTTATTATTTCCCTTCTACGTGACTTTACCGAAAGAACCAAGAAGAATTACGTCTTTGTTTTCACACCAACAAAAAATCCTCATAGAATTCAAAACTCTTTTCAGGAAGTCCTGCGTTGGATGTCAGTCCAGTTGCTGGAGCACCCTCACAGCTTGGAAACATAAACATACTTGCTCTGCTGCCACTTTGCTACTCCATAGCTTGGTGTCTCACCATACATCCATGGTTTTTGTTTGCATCACAGCATTGCACACTCAGCCCAGCGGTGCAGAACATGCGCAAGATACAAGTGCATCCGTGCCACAGTAGAGGCTTGGCTTTGTTTCCCATGCATTGACCCTCTCTCTCTCTCCCTGTCAATTCACAGCGGGAAATAATCTGAATGGATACATTGTGCTGGGCATCCGCCAGGTGCTGCCAGGGTAAGCCACTGCTTCTGCGTGTGAATATGCCTGAGCAGTCCACGTCACATCTCCACTGCATACAAGACCTGTGCTACTCACCACTGCTCACTTACACAAAAAAGACAAAGATCCCCGTATAGCATTAACAGACTATATATTCTTGGTACTTTCGGTAAAGTCACGTAGAAGGGAAATAATAAAATAATATTAATATAAAACAAACAATATATTTTATTAATTTTTATTAGTGTATCATTTCCCTTCTACGTGACTTTACTGAAAGAACCAAGAATATGAATCCCTGCAGTCACGAAAGCTTTAAATCAGAACATTAACAGACTGTTGGTAATGTTAGTGAGCACCTATGAAGGCCGGCACAGCACACGAGGGGACGGGTTGCCAGCACTACACTCAGCCGCCTTTGTCTCCCTAGTGGCGATGTTTACACACTGCACCAGGTACTGACTCGCTTGAGGCTGAGTCGACGTAGGGGAGGGCCAGGACCGGTTCAGATAATCTATCACCGGTGTTGACTGTGAGCGGGAATAGAACCTGGGTCGCCGGGTTCGTAGCGCAGAGCGCTAACCGCTACACCACCGCTCTGTGACACGCACACACTTCATCCACATACACACATGAACCGGTCCTGGGCCTCCCCTAGGTCGACTCAGCCTCAAATGAGTACGTAGTACGGTGTTTAAAAACATCGCCACTAGTGAGACAAGAGCGGCCGGACATGGTGTTGGCCACCCCCCCCCCTCGTGTGCCAGAGTGCCGGCCTTCATAGGTGCGACTCGCTAACAACGCTTGCCCCAACAGTCTTTTGAAGACTACACGGGGGACCTTTGTCTTTGGAGGGTGTGTGTGTGTGTGTGTGCTGTGCACTCATTTGCATGCGGCCTGTGCGTGGTTTGGACTTAAATAGGTGTAGCCGCGTGGGTGACACAAGTGCCCTGGCCCTGACCTGTGCTGCCCGCTGCAGGTTCTCCATGCTGCCCCCGGGGCTCCCAGGGACCCCCTGCACCTCGTACGCGTCTGATGATACCGCCGTCACCGCCGCCGCCGGCACCAGCGCCGCCGGCTCCCCGGGCAGCACCGCGCGTGCCCTCTTCACCAGCTTGGGTCACAACTGAGCTGGCGCAGTGTGTACTGAAGCGCGCTGCGCGGAAACGGACGGAGACCCAGGCCGGTCACGGCGGGCTGCTTCGTGGGGCTGCATCGCGTCACGGCGCGTCACGGCGCACCCCTGATGGACACGCATCCAAGGTGGAAACCGGACAACGCCGCCGATGGCCAGAACGATGACCGAATGGGCTCATGCTTGCCGTGTTTCCAATTCACACCTGCGTCCAATGCTCGTCGAGAAGCTCCAAGAGCTGCCTCCGATGCGACGGATGTGAGCATCTATCTACCTTCAGCAAGCCTACCAGGTGTCGTTAAGGACCGAACATTTTTGCCACCATTCCACGGCGTAATGGACCACGCCACGCGAACAGCACCAGTCCTGAGCCCTAATCGCAAACACCGCCATGCTGCGGCACGGTAGAGCAATGCCCGGGGCTTGCCACGTGGCGCTATGATACAGGAGACCTCTAGAAAGCCTTCGCCACAGCACTTTGGAACACACTTTGCGGCACAAAAAAAACACCACCAAAATTCCGCGCTCAAAAGACAGCAGTGAACGGAAAGGTACTTGCTGCTTTCGTGGGCAAACCACGCAGGTTCATCATTTTCTTTGCACATAAGTGTACTTGTTTACTTTTGACCACGGAGCCTCGAAAACAAAGCAAGACCTCTCATTTTTATCTTTAACACGAGCAGCTCTGAGTGTTATCAGCTGGGTACTTCAACTGGAATATTACTTGACAGACAACACAGTTTTCAATTGCTCTGGATTGTTGGCTGTTAAAAAAAACTATGCTTTTTTCTTTTTACCAAAATAAATGTCCGTAACAATTTTACCTCAGGATCATGGAAACATACGATGCAGGAACCATGCAATGGTTCTCATGAAAACAAATACCAGAGAATGATGAGAATACAGTAACACAGAACGTTGACTGGAAGCCACCATCGGATTTGTGGGCTAACTGGAAATGGACGTCCCTGTTAAGAAATGACTCGAGCCTTGAAACTCAGTGTAATACACATATTTCAAGAACAGACAGCTGCACTAATGCACCCCTATACGATTCTTCGAATTGTATGGAAGTGCTAAGGACTCACAGAGCTAAGCAGCCCTATTTAGCCTGAAACAATTGTTGGCGTCGTTATGGAGAACATAAGTAACAAAATAAATATTTGCTACTTATCTTGAAAGTGAGCCTTGAGAATGTGTGTGAGCCATGATAACTTTGAGGTCACACATTTCTTTTTGGAGGTGTACACCCGTCCGTGACCTTCCCAGCAACCAGGTGCTCCCGTGCTGTCTGGTTATGAAGCAGACTCGTGATATTTAACAGTATTCTTGTGAAATATAAAAAAAGCGTTTGCTATTTGGACCTAGAGCCATTCACTTCACAGCACTTGTTGTGTACCCGCGCAAAGATGACATGGAAATGGCTAGTGGGATGTTTTGGAAGGGAACAAATGGTGCACAAGATGACCTTTCAAAGAAAATGCAACTCTATACAAATGCGGTATTGCGTGTAGCATCTTGTCGTATGGTTATCATGAAGTGGCTTAATGCAATCTGAGAGTGAATTACAGGGTTGGTTCGAGGAGAATTATTTGATGGCCTCGGGCTCCCATGTTAATGGGCCTGCCTCGTACTAAGAAGACCGTAGCAAGCCGGCGCGGATGATAGCGTGTCACTTTTGGGAGGGGCCTCAACGAGTGCTGATAGATGATTTTCGGGAAAATGCCGCTTGTCAATTTGAATTGCGTAGCTAAAGTTAACGATAACCGAGGTGGCCCTGTATGAATGTAAGTGGCAATGCCTTGGGGCAGTTTAAAGAATAAAAAGAGGGCACACTAATGGATATATACTAATTGCCTGGCTAAAGCCACAAAGAGTAACACGATGGTATGCTAATGCAATTATAAGAACTGTCTGGCTAGAGCCAATATTATGAAAAAGAGGGCACTGTAGTGGAATATCAAATAAGTTCCTGGCTAAGACCATGAATGGTTAACGAGGGCATGCTAATGGTTATATGATGTGCCTTGTTAGAGCCATAAAACGTGCAAAGCGGGCATGATAATGGCTTTATAGCAGTGATGGGCAACTTCGACTTGTTGGTGGACCACACGAGTCCACTAATGACCGCACGCATCACCCTACAGACACTGAGACCAAGCCACCACGAGGGTTGCCCACCACTGATTATTTTTTATTGTCTTGTTGATCATGCCCCCCCTCCTCCCAGCCTTCTCAGTTCTCTCGGAAGGAATTGCAGTGGCAGTGGTGCTTGACATGCACAGGCAAAATTCGCCTCGTGCGTATGTGCATGCGCATGCACGTGTCGTGACGCCAATTGTGCGCGCGTGTCCGTCCGTGCACGTTTTCACGTGTGGTGGCTGCTTAAGTGCAAACGCATCGGTGTGCAGTTCATCGCACACGGCGATCCTTAAGACAATCCTGTCCGGATCAAACCTGACATGCAATCATTTACTCGCTATCGGAGCCATACAACGAGGTGACATTTGATTTGTGCCGCAGTTAAGAAGTGGTTTTAAGGTAAGCAAAAAAGTGCCAAACAAAACAAAACGCAATGTGAAACGTGACGGGGTGGGGTTTGGGGGGGCGCATGTGTGTGGTTTTATGTCTCTTTTACAATAATGTACTAAGTGGTTGTGAAGCCCCATTGTTCTCGACGCCACACTGCAAAGCAGTTGTGCCGCGCACGGCGTTGTGTTCTGTCCTGATGTATGAAATATATCGCACGCACGCCAGTGGCAACGCAAAGGCGAATGCTAATTGTGGCCCTTGTGGACACGGTCCAGTTTTTACACGTTGGCAAATTTTACTGGCAAGTTCAGTGAACTTCATATGCTAATCAGAGGTGCCAGAGCATGAAGTTGGAAACCCGTCTGGCGGGAGCGACGTACGTTTCGTTTGTCATTGAGTGGCAGTGGGGAAGTTTGTGCAATTACAATCGACTAATGCAGAAATCAGCTGATTTGATATAATACATTACCCGGCCACAGCTGCAAATGTAAACAAAAAAGTGTCAAGGTTAATTCTGATATTGGCAGCAGTTATAAAGGTTTGCCTTATTACATAGGACATTTATACTGAAGGCAGTGTGAGTCCATCTATCGGAGTTTACGGGTCACGCATGAAGCTGGATCCTGGTATCAGAGCACTGCCTTACGAGCAGAGACCTCAGCTATTTTGTATTATTATCATCATCGTAATCATCCCTCCAAGCATGGTACTATGTGGACCATTTTGATGCGATGTAAACCGTGGTTGTACTATGGGAGCCACTGGCTCCCACCTCTGGCTCTGGATCCACTATGAAAAACTGCATGTCACTTGTCAGAGCATGCAGTCACTTTGTTTTACTCGTCTCACGATTACGAAAGGTTAACTCCAAGCCACACACACCAATGCTGTAAAACTCAGGTCAAAGGTAACATTATCACAAAACAATATCAGGTAATTTTGTTTTACTTCACCGGATATTTATAATGTTTTTCTTTAATTTATATTTTCTGGGTGCCAGTGTTAAAATAAATGACTTAAAACTTTCATAATAATAAAAGTTTTTTTTGTATTATGTGTAACTGTGTGGTATTCGCTAACATTGCATGATCTATATTGTGTGCTGTATTATGCGTGTCCATCATTCCCAATCATTTAACATTGTCATACCTACAGCTTGCCAATGACTAACACTGCATATTACCTTGATTTAATCTCAGGTTAAAGCCAATGCTTTCACTCCTAAGCTGATCAGTGAAACATTGCAAGAGTCCTACCTTCGCCAAAACCGTATACGAATGCCACAATAAACAATGCTATTTAGATTTATACAGCATCTAAATGTGACAACATGTCAACATACTCGACATAAAGTTGATTTTTAAAAACGCGTTTTTAGCCCTTTTTGGTTATCTGTCAGACCATACTGTTTGACCATACTTCACCATGCTAGTCATCACCTGTTGGTGAAAGGGAGGCCATGACCCATTCAGAAAAAAACTTTCCACTTATGCTATCCATGGTCAGAGATCAAACTCAGGTGCCCAGGTTCACAATTCAGTATGCTAACCGCGACACCACCGTTCCACAATAAAATGGTTAGAATTGTGAATTAATGGCCACAAGAGACAATAGGGCACCAAATATGAGAGCAATTTTTTACAGCTATAACTTTTCCGTCATTTTATTATTCTGTGACCCTCTTGATTTTCAGGCGCTAGAAGGTAGGAAGGCCTGCGTGTCAAAGCCAAGCCCTCATTGTGGATTACGAATGAGTTATGCTTGCCATGCAGATCTAATTACTGGCTTTGTGCTTCAGTAGAAATTGGTATCCGAAGCCTAGCCTGGGCCTCATAAATTTCAACTAGTTTGCATCAGGTTCTCATCTGGGAAATTTCAGTTAGTTATGTCCTTCAATACGTATTCACGCTAGCACGAAAAGCCATGTAGCCAAGTGCTACAACTGTCAGTACTCATTATGTGAAGTTATATAAACCTAATCTTTTCCTGTAAACCATCAGGGATATGTTTGCCAATCTAATATACCCAAAATGAGCTGATTTATTGATTTTTTTTTAGCCCACTACACACGTCGTCATTATACCACCGGCACGGTAAACCATCCGGAAACAAACTGTGTTGAAAATAAATATTGAGGAAGACGAGTCATTTTAAATGATTAGTTCTTTCCATTCAGCAAAATCGATGTCTCCCCCTTCGTGGTTCACCAGCTTCACATTAACTTTCTACAGTAGATGTGATTAATATCCTCAAGGATATGATTCTGATTGGCTCGGTGGGTGAAGGGCATGTAGCTAACTGGTAAACAGATTTCATACGTCAGCTTTTATGAACAATATGATTCATAATTGTTTTTTTTTGCGCTAGGTTGTGTAAAAATGTCTGTCGTAAACCCTCCTCCAACCAGCGGAACATGGTACCTGTTTAAATATTATAAAGTTGCTAACAACTCCGGTGGTGCTGCTGAAGCGATAAATGAATTTAGCACGTTCAATTCACGTGACACATTTATTAACTGGCTGTTGGGTGAAGGAGGGGTTTATGACACACATTTTTTTTACTATTAAACTGTTGTATTTGACCAGGTAAGGCCTACTGACCTATATAGCTATTTTCAGAAGCGACCTGGCAAAAATGATAACTTATGTGGACATTTCTAGCAGCCACATACTCGAAACGCGTTTTTTTTTACACGACCTTACCCAAAAGAAACCAATTATGAATGGTAAATAGATGTTCCCACCAAGGGGCCACTTGCCCCCTTTAACTCTACACATGTTGGAAGACGGCCATTTAAACCTGAAAGCTCGCTCCATCTTGGCGAAGTTCATGGAAAAAAACAGTGACTGCTCCGTCAATTCTAGATTTGAAGCTTTCGTGACTGCAAGGATTCATATTCTTAGGTTTTTTCGGTAAAGTCACGTAGGTAAAACATCAAAATTAATGAAAATAAAATAAAAATCACGACGTTTCGGAGGCAACACAAGTCTCCGTCATCAGGTGGGACCGTGTTGTCTCCGAAACGTCGTGATTTTTATTTTATTTTCATTAATTTTGATGTTTTACCTACGTGACTTTACCGAAAAAACCTAAGAATATGCTCCGTCAAGTTTAACTGGCCCCCAGCCAGCGTGAATCCTACCCGACTCGCGTAAACGAGAGCACTTTTGTCTGTATGTGTTGGATTGGAACGAAGCATTTATCAGCCAGAAACACATTCAGCCATCCGAGGCAAAACTTGAACCTCATCTTGCGTTATCAGAAAATGTAATTTTTAGACATTTCCTATTTTAATGTCAAAATAAAGGTGGAAACATTGCACAACACACCTTGTATGCACAACATAGATTAGCAGTTTCAGCTGGTAGGTGTGTTTGATTTGCTCAATTAGAACCCATGTATTTCACAATTATCTATCAGTATTTATATATTAACACATTTTATAACGCAAATATGCTCAAACACGCAAAAGCGGCTGCACGGAGACTTCATATCGACCCAGGGCTTTGCGCGTCTGCAATGTGCCCAACATCCGGCCACTTTTTTTTGAATGCATCACGACCACAGTGGCTATTCCTGTCCCTCCGTTGCGTTGTTTTTTGACGACATTTGCCTAGCCTGGTGGCTACAGCTGGCTGGCAGACAGGAAACACGCGCGTGCTGGGGGCCAACAGCAGGAAAAGGTGGTCTGGGTGGCTTTGCCATTTGGTTTCACTCCAGTCAGAATGGGCGAAGGGGAGTTGTCTTCGGAGTGGAGGGTGTGAGTGTGCATGCAATTGTAGATTAATCTAGATTTGAAGTTTTCGTGACCGCAGGGATCCATACTCTTTGGTTCTTTTGGTAAAGTCACGTAGGTATAAAACTAAATAAATTAAAATCACGAGGTTTCGGGCGCAACACCTGATGACGGGCCCAAAACGTCGTGATTTAATTTATTTTGTTTGAAACCTACGTGACTTTACCGAAAGAAACAATTGTGGATTGCGTGCAACGAATGCTTTTTCTCATTGCGCGTGCATGTTTTAAGGTTTGCCCATTACTATTGGGCATCTTTTGAACGGTGTGTAAAAGGGGTACACATGCCTTGAGTATACCGTGAAACGCAACCACACCGTGCTTGAAAGGCCACGTGATTTTATATGAATGCAGTTGTAGAAAAAAAAATCATATTTAAGGAGGGTGTGTATGTGTGTACACATGGTGCATGAATGTGTAGATTTGTGGTGGGGCGATTGGCACACTGTCCTATTATCCTGACGACCCTGCTTAAATACCTAGCCGTGTTGCAGTTGCACGGGCATGAAGTTGTATCACTAAATCTGACTCAGCGTGAGAACATCAGTACTCAGGGAGACAAAGGTGTCTTTGAATGTCGCGCTTGAAACACCGTTCTTTCGTGGGCCATGCAGCCCTTCAAACATGCTCGCCAACAGCATGAGGCTAGAATAGGGAGGAGCGTTGTCGTTTTTTTGTGCGAGTTTGTGTATTGCATGCCCTGTGGGTGGCGTGGGTTGCTTGGGGTGTTCGCCAGACAGCTCCGAACACGGCGACCCGAATTCGATCCTCCGCTCGTGGTGACCATTATTTGAACCGGTCCTGGGCCTCCCCTAGGTCGACTCAGCCTCAAATGAGTACCTGGTGCGGTGTGTAAACATCGCCACTCGGGAGACAAAGGCGGTCCGGCGTGGTGCTGGCCACCCTCAGTCCTCTCGTGTGCCGCAATAGCCTTCACAACCGCTACTCGCTAACAGCACTTGTCCCAAGGCCGTAATTATAAAATATATTGGCGGGGGGGGGGGGACACATCCCTCCAATAATCAAATATGCTCAAAATGTTCCCCCCAAATTATTGCTAGAAAAATATTTTTAAAAATAATAATTGCGATGCTATGTAAATAAAAACAACAATTTGCTACACATTGGCATAGATCTCTGTTTATATGATTGTGGTTATGGTTGTACTTTATGAATCCCTAATCTCTGCCATTACATACAATGAAACAAGAAAAGATAAAAAAAACAGAGCAATGTAATACAATACACTATTAGACATTATTGTAAAAATAAATATAAAGCCCATCCCATGTGTTAGTGAATTTTTTTATATTTTAGGCAGGAAATTAGTTTTCAAATTTAGATTTTTTTTCTTTTCTTGGGGGGGGGGGGCAGACCCCCTGGAAGATTTGCCCCCCCCCCCCAATGTTGACTCCATGGCTATGACCTTGACTTGTCCCAACAGTCTGTTAAGGCTACACGGGGGATCTTTGCCTTTGTGCGTGCGCCAGACGTGTTGGTGCGTGGTGCGTGAATGCGGGTCCCAACCCTGCACTCTGCGCCTCACACTTTCCCGTCAGTGGTTTCGTATGACGCCGAATCTCCCCTCGACGAAAGTGTGATTAAACATTTTCCCCCCCAAGCCGCACACGCAGTGCTACACACACAGTTAAATTAACCACAGCCATGCAGGACATCCGAATCCACTTACTCATTTGCCTAACTTACATTTTGCATTTTTTTTTAACAACACACTCCCCCCCCCCCCGGACAAATGATCAATAAGAGACGACAGCAGAACAGCTAAGAAGCATACTCTTTGGTTCTTTCGGTAAAGTCACGTAGGTAGAAAATTAAATAGATCACGACGTTTCGGGCGCAACACAAGCGTCCGTAATCAGGTGGGAAAGCTTTCGGGCGTAACACAAGCGTCGTGGTCTATTTTATTTTCTACCTACGTGACTTTACCGAAACAACCATAGAGTATGGATTCCTGCAGTCACGAAAGCTTCAAATCAAGCTAAGAAGCAGTCTTCGCTGTGGGCTCGGTGAAATTGTTTGATGATGCTTTGTTTAATATCCAGGAACTCGCGATTAGATTTCGTGGGACTTTTATAATGAAAGTCATCCAAAAAAAATTCAGATTTGTTGAGAAATATCTCAACGTTTGAGAAGTGACAGTGCGTGTGCACGAAACGATGCTTACGAGTAACAAACTACATAATCGTACACAACCTACACAAAGCTAAATATTAAATTCTGCCTACATTATGTTTTCTATGATGTAGTTAAACAATAAACGGGATGAATATTAATGTTAGAAAGTCACAATTGTACTGCTTTTTCACTTTAAAAATACATGCTCATTGCTAAATTTTCTAGAAATTTATTTTGTAAAATGTATCCTTAACATTCATAATAAACGTTTTTGGGTTAGATCGCGTTATTTATAAATGTGTCGTAACCCTCCACCACCCTACACGGCCAATCAGCAAAAAAAGTGTCACGTTGACAAAAGACAAATAGTTCATTACTTTAGCCCATCGGTCTGTTGAAGAATGAATCCACAATATTTACAATTTTTTTTCAGGTTTCTTTGTAGTTCACCGTCTACCATAGACACAGACAATTGGAAATATACCAGTCAAATGTAATTTTCAGTCTTTATAACTGGCACTTGATTGATGCAAGCGAGGACAGGCTTGGACACACAGCAATGTCCAAACTTATTACAGCAACATTACTAATCACGTCCTTTTCACAGAATATTCTCATTTAGTATCCTGGCTTTTTTTTTTACCCCAAGAGATACTTCGTAACATGTATCATTGAGGAGACAGTATGCAAATGTGGGAAGAAAACCAACTACCCAGAGAAAACCTGTTCAATTGTAAAATATCACTCAAATGTATGTCCTGATCGGCGACTTACCTATTTACTCTACTGCCACCTTATGGTATGCCAGATCAGCAAAAATCACACAATTTCTACACCACCAATTTCCTTTTTTTAAAGCAGCGCCATTTCTGTTCACATTTAATATGTGCGCTTATCGTACCAGTCGCAGCTTCATTGGTGTCAGCAATGTTACTGACCAATAGTTTCCCGTGTTCACTCCCGTGCATGTTCAAATGTTGGACCGCATGCCTCCGAAGAGCAAAATCCGCACGGCCGCGTCCGTAGGTCCCAGCATCAGGAGCTGCAGAAACCGACTCATTTGAGATCACACCGGAGCACACAGTTTTTCAAATCGCACCAAACGACTCCGTTTCGACCAATCGACACCGAAGGCTCGATTTCAAATTAACCGAGGCACATTTTCGGTTTCTGCTACCAAAAGTATTACTTTTCCCACGAGGAGTCAATTTGGATTTCAGTTGAACAGAAATAGCGATGAACCGTTTTCAAGAGTGCAAGGCCAGAAAAGCTGCCAACTTCCCTGATTGGATTCCACGATCATGTACACATATGGGCACTGGCCAGCGAAACTGTAAGGGGGCGTTAAAACAATTCATGACAATTCGCTTTGGCCGTCATGCCCAGATGTGATTAATTATTAGTGTTGGCGATACACACAGGTATAGCAGCGCCTCATACTCATGACACTGGGTTGTCGCAATCCCAGACCCGCTACTTTTGTAGTATGTTATCATTTGAATGTGCAGCGTTGATGAAATGAGTATCACGAACAGTACCTCTCCTACGCTGTGGGTCAAGGCCACCATTGAAGAGCGGTGCTTCCCATATTAATTTGAGCATTGAAACACGATGTTTTATATTCTTGATTTGAAGCTTTCGTGACTGCAGGAATCCTGATGACGGACGCTTGTGTTGCGCCCGAAACGTCGTGATTTATTTTATTTTATACCTACGTGACTTCACCGAAAGAACCAAAGAACACGATGTTTTATATTCTTGGTTCTTTCGGTAAAGTCACGTAGAAGGGAAATAATAAAATATAATAAAAATTCTCACGACGTTTCGGCCACAACGCAAGCAGCCGTCCTCAGGCGAAGAACAGAGCTGTCGGAAAGACAGCATCCTAATGAACACTGCTAAGCTTGGCAGCGTATTTTAAGCTGGGTGGGAGGAGAACGATGTTTTTAATCAATACAATTATATGTAATCATACTGTGATTGCTCTACTTTGTAATTGTCTTAATATATTAATGTATTGCTCAATTTAGGCAATTTCCCAATACCAGGTACTGCCTATATTGGCAAATGGATACCAAGTATTTTTTTATCCATTAACGTGACAAAAATCAATAATTAAATATTCTTTACTTGATACAGCAATCGTGCTGTGACGGTTCCACCTGAAGACGGAGGCTTGTGTTGCCTCCGAAACGTCGTGATTTTTTATTTTACTTCTATTAATTTTAATTAAATTTTTTACCTACAAAACCTGAGAGTATGAATCATTGCAGTCACAAAAGCTTCAAATCTAGAATTAAATATTTATCTTGTTTTTGTATCCATTTTCCATACCATTGCTGTATGAATTTCTCTCCACGCCATGTTGGTCACGGAGCTCGTCTGACCATATGGTTGTTGTCTTACCCGCGCACCTTCGATCAGCGTGCTAAACAAGTTCAACGTAGAAGGGCAATAATAAAATAATAAAAACTAAACATAATAAAATAATTCTCACGACGTTTCGGCTACAACGCAAGCAGCCGTTAAGAACAGGTCTGTCGGAAAGACAGACGCTGTCTTTCCGACAGACCTGTTCTTCACCTGAGGACGGCAGCTTGCGTTGTGGTCGAAACGTCGTGAGAATTATTTAATGTTTTATTTTTATTATTTTATTATTTCCCTTCTACGTGGCTTTACCGAAAGAACCAAGAAGATGAATTCCTGCAGTCACGAAAGCTTTAAATCGAAAGTTCAACATACGTGCATACTTAACCACCCGGGTAAGTGCACGTTGGAGAAGAGGGAGAGCCCAGGCCAGTAAGATAACAATCGTGACTCCTGTTCGCCCTGGATGAGAATTGAACTCCGGTCATTGGGTCCCACGGTACAGCGTGCTAATAACTGCATCACCGCTCGACCCCAATTTAAAGATCATTCATTTCAAGAAGCACGACTTACCTCGATGGACAGTACAGGCGAGGTGAGATTCACTGTTGTTCATTACACTGCCAATGTGGAATGAAATTGCGAACATGAGTTATTGTTAAAGACTCGGCTCGTGTGATATGTTTTGGCATATCATAACCATTTGATAAAGAACGCTCACATAAGGATGGCAGGCATGCTACACACACACACATCAGGACACTTTTAAACACTCACTTGTAAAAGGGTTGTGTTTTATTCAATACACTTTCAATTTCCATCAGCTCATTTGCATCTAAGCCAGTGCCCAGAAAATGTGGGAGCCATGGAGGCGGACTAATGTTACATCATCTCTCTACAGGGATAAAACACAAAACAGGGGGGCACTTGGGAGGGCAATACATTTCACAAAGGGAACAATGCTCACACCAAACCAGTGAGGCTTCTTACACAGCTCATTCTTTCAGACATTGTCATCTCTATACTGCTGTTGCACATGCAGTAAGCCATTGTTCTGGTAACACATTAAATAACTGAACATCAACGATTGTCGGAAACGAACTGCAGGACAGCAATAACAACGTTCAAAATGAATCTAAAACGACCAATGTATTTGCATACCGCGTAATAACACACAAACATGTCACATCCTGAACGACACTTTAGCGACGCTGTGAACGCATACCACCTTCCGGGCAGCACTCTACCACCTCTAACCTAGACTCGTGATTAGGCAGTGAGAACAATTACATGACTCCACCTCTGGTGAGAACAGCCTCACAATCCAGTCCAGGAAATTAAGTAAATCCATCACCTAATAACGGTAGATCTTCTGGCAGGTAAAGTCACTTGGGCAACGTCAAGCAAATACAGTTCCATTCAATACAGTATTCAAATGGCATTACCTAGTTACCCAAGTAAGCAATGGTACTTTAGAATATGCCACAGCGCAACACATGAGCTTGCTACCGTCTCTCATGGTAAATAGTTCTGAGACAAGATTATTTTCATTGTAAATTTTTACGGAGGGTAATACAATCCCTTCACAGCAGAGATTCTGCTTGTGAAGGCCTGGTTTTCGTCTGCCAATTAGGCAATGAATCGTCTTGATTTTCTCGTGAAAGGGAATACCGATCTTAAGAGATTTGGAGGCATGATAACTGTTCTAGATTTGAAGTTTTCGTGACTGCAAGGATCCATACTCTTTGGTTCTTTCGGTAAAGTCACGTAGGTGAAAATAAAAATAAAATATTAGTTATTTCTATTTTATTTTTATTTTCACCTACGTGACTTTACCGAAAGAACCAAAGAGTATCGGCATGATAACTGCTCCACTGGTGTTGGCTGCAAGATCAGCTGGACAAGCTGTGAAATCCTCGGATGAGCCGAGAGACCCCAATCCTTTTAATACTTCGACCTAAACAAGTCCACTTAAAGCAATTGCTCACGTGTACTTAAATTAATGTTACGATATTCACATACCCCCACAACATCTGGGTGTATGTTTATTGACTTTTTCATCCAAGAAAGTAAAAAAGATACACCAAACTTTTGCACAGAGATGAGGAAAAAGCAGTGACAATGGGTATGATTGACCAGTGGTACCCCCATGTGGACACATAGACACTCCAAACAAAACTCTCACAGGGCAAAGCCTGACCATTCAGTTACATGGGCCATCTGAAGGATATGTAATTTAATACAGAGGCACCTCCAATTACTGAATGCCTGTTTTCAGATTCAAGCGTGTAATACTACACTTAGTGAAACACATATATCCAGAGTAGCCATAACTTTCATTTATTTATACAACAAAGGAATTTTCAGCATTGCAATAATAACCCAAATGTGTCAAAATCCATACGTGACAATATTCTGGTTCAGCAAAATTAAAGTAAAAAAAACGACACCTCTTCAGATGACACTGAAATGCAAAATAAATTTTGTGTGCTGTCTGTAAACCTCTGTTTATAATCTGCCCAATATTTTGCACCTCCAATTAGCACGGTTGGCGAGATGCAGTTCAACATACAATCGACATAATTAGACCTTAACAAAGCTTCTAGATTTGAAGCTTTCGTGCCTGCAAGGATTCATATTCTTAGGTTTTTTCGGTAAAGTCACGTAGGTAAAAATTTTAAATTAAATTAATAAAAGTAAAATAAAAATAAAATCACGACGTTTCGGAGGCAACACAAGCTTCCGTCTTTAGGTGGAACCGTCACAGCACGATAGCTGTATCAATATCAATAGAGCTATCGTGCTGTGTATCAATATCAATACAGCTATCGTGCTGTAACGGTTCCACCTGAAAACGGAGGCTTGTGTTGCCTCCGAAACGTCGTGATTTTTTATTTTATTTTTATTTTACTTTAATTAATTTAAATTTTTACCTACGTGACTTAATAAAGCTCCAAGTAAAAAAAATTAAACGGAGGTTTTTTTTGCTCTTGTGAAAGATAATTGTCGTGTCAAACCTACTTATGAATGAAGGCTCAAGGCTGAGTATTTTTAAATGACTGTTTACACACAAATGGATTTAAATACCGAATGCGCAAATATAATCTGTTAAAAACTAAGAAAATAAATTATATTTTTCGATCTCTATTGCTTCTTGTTTTTTTTTTATCTTGCCCATGGTCCCCCTGAGGTTGTTACTGGTATCATATGAACACTTCCATTACTGACATTAAACAAGTCAAAAACAACAGTTAGAACAAACAACCTCTGACATTGAGAAAAATTTTACTTGACGGCAACTATTATAACGAGGATAATTGACGCCTAACCTGCCGATAAACATCATACACCATCAACGGTGACAAGGACATACGTGTCAGTGATTAACTATGCTTTTATCCATAACGTACCACAATACTGGCTCTGTAGCCAGCAGCTTCCATCCAAAGACAGACAAGAGCGTCACGTCCAACACATGTGTAGGGAGAGAAACAACGGCTGGGGCGCGCGTGATCAACACGAGTTTCGCTGCTCCTCTTTCACCTGCGTTTCCCACTCCTCCTGCTCTGTTTGACTTCCTCTCCCCGTGCTCGACCTCCCGCCCTCTTCCGTGTCTGTGGCACACACACGTCCTCATTACCACCGCGCAGAACCGTGCTACGGTGCATCCTTCCTGTGGGAAGGCAGTGGCAGCAGCATCGGTAGCAGATCTAAAGCGTACGGAGTGAGCCATAGTACACAAAATAATTTGGATTGTTCATATCGTTCCAAAGAATCCTGCCACAGCTCTCGGTACACTGTGCTACGAACCCGGCGACCCGAGTTCGATTCCAGCTCACAGCCAACACCGTTGATAGAATATCTGAACCGGTGCTGGGCCTTCCTCTAGGTCGACTCGGCCTCAATTGAGTACCTGTCCCAGTGTGTAAACATCGCCACTAGGGAGACAAATGCGGTCGGGCGTGGTGCTGGTCACCCACCTCCTCGTGTGCCGTGCCGGCCTTCATAGGTCCTCACTAACAGCACTTGCCCCAACAGTCTGTTTAGTCTATACTCGGGGATCTTTGTCGTTGTAGCTGATTGGACTTGCCGATGACATGTACCAGCAGTGTTAAGATCGGCCTCTCCTGAGGATGAGGTTCGTGAAGGGTTGGAGGCAGTTGCCCTCCAACAACAACGGAGGACCATGTAGCGCTGAGCGGCTAAGACGCAGAAAGTTGGCACAGGCGGTGCAATCTGCCAGTTGGTCATCTCATTCAAGACATGGTACCTGGGTCTGTTCTGTGACCTCCTGCCAGGGGGCTTTCGACACTTCACGTGGCCTCAAAAGTGTACCTAGCATTGCACCAGCGGCGTGGTGACGTCATCACTACTTGGTGATGTACGTGCATGCGGCTGCACTCGTGCCCCCCGTTAAGCCTGCCCCGTTCACCCGTGCTGATTTATGTAGTTTTTTTTATTTAAATTGACGAAAACCTATCGGATTATAGTCAAGTCCGAGTCTGGGGAATTCACTCAGACTTTGGTAGAGAGTTGTAGCCATCGCTACGCCAATAACTGTCGTCGACTCAAATGGAAAATGCTTTTGCCAACTAATATTTTCATCACAAATTTCGCTGACAAAATGAACGCTGCCCTGCGGGGCTGGTGCATTTAACGCTGCATGGGTGGTGGAACAAACCTGCCAACGGTTTTAACTTCCTGAACCAAGAATCAAACCCAGTGTCACTGGGTTGTTATAATTTTTCACACTGCATTGCCTCTTCCTTATTGTAAAAGTCTAAGCCTCCCATTGCTCACAGAGAACGTTTGGCTACGTACGGTGCGAAATCAAGTTATCATAGATATATACACGGAGCAATGGATTACTGTCAATTCAGCCGAAAGCCCTAATTCAGCGGTGAAAGCTCCACATTACTAGAGTAGGGACCAGTCTCTACACAGGATGACCACTTCCTACAAAGCAGTGTTCACCGACTGATGGTGTTCACTGTACAGAATGCAGTGCAACCGGTGGCGAAAGCACAGATGCGAGAGAGGAAGCACTCACCGGACCAGGCGGGCTCCTGCTTGAGTGGTTGCTCCGTCAACTGGTGGCGCGTGTACGGACGCGTCTCGTCCGTAGCCAGCGAGTGCTTCCACGAGGGTGGTTGAACACCGGTTGGGCCCTGGGACGGCTCACGAGGGTCAGGGGGCCCGTTGTGCCGCGGCGACGGGGCGTCTCCCGCACCGCCGCACCCTCCACACCCCGGCGGCTCGTCTGGAATGCAGGAATGAACCCGTCGCTTACGCACGTGGCGCGGTGACGTTTTGTGCATGCGAGATGTAAGCTCCGCAGAATGCAGCGTTAGACCAGGCGTGCGTCACTACAGCACTTGCGGCGCGAAGAAATGCTGAATCAATACAGTTTGGCTTGCCACTTGCAAGCACATTTTGCCACCTACTCCATGATGCCACCTACAGGCCAATCCTTAGCTATTGCAGAATGTTTTCTTCTTATGCTTTTATATGATTTACAGTATCTTTGTCAATCCACTACTAGATGAAGGCCACGGTGTGACCCTGCTTAAACACACTGGTCGGTTGTGGTTGTGAAGAGGTGGGGGGGACCAGGACTGGTTCAGATATCATGCTCTAGTAATGCTAGCCATGATCACAAATCAAACTCTGGTCACCGGGTAGGTGCTATAGCGCATTAACTAGAGTATCACTGCTCCACCCCCATAATGAACATCTGACAATAATATGGATGAATGTGCCTGTTTGTGTGTGAGCGATGCCCGGGTGCGGTCAAGAGATGGCTCCCTATTGGTCATTCATGTTATATACGCTGATTATCTGGTAATTGCTGCTCGCTCAGAGGAGGAGTTGGAGGCGCTGCTGCTGAACCTGGAACGCACCACTAAGAGGTGGGTCCTTACTATCAGCCCCATCAAAACTAAGCACCTGCCTGGGTATTTCATACCATCAGACACTCCACCACAACTCCCAATTGGTGATGGGGCAGTTGTGGAGAGAGTGGAGAGTTTCCCATCCCTGGGCAGTGTGCTCATGACCGGCTCCAGTTGGACAGCAAAGGTCTCACTCCGAATCAGTTGAGCGGCATTATCTTTTAATCGGTTGCGTAAACGCTGTGTGGAAGCTACCTGGTCTGTCGCTCCACATGAAGCTTCAGGTTTTCTCGGTCACAGTCATGCCCTCCCCTACTCTACACTTGCAAAACGTGGACCGCCCTAATGGAACATCTTCACCGGTTAGAAACATTTAGGCTGGCCTGCCTACGATCCATCCTGGGTTTAACCAGGCTGGATTGTGTGAGGAGCTCACAATTCCTTGAACGATCTGGACAAAGTCCCAACGGTGAGCTCCTCTGGCAGGCAAGGCTGCGTTGGCTGGGTCATGTAGCCCACATGCCCAGCCACCGCATGCCTAAACAGCTTTTGTTTGGCCGGATCCAGGGGGCTAAATGGGCGCGGCATGGGCTAGAGAAGAGATGGAGTGATGTGGTACAAGGATGTGGAGCTGAGTGGACTTGCCGATGATTGGTACCAGCGGTATCACTATCGGCCTCTGTGGAGGAGGCTCGTAAAGGACGCTACTGGGCAGTTGGAGGCAGTTGCCCTCCAACAACAACTGAGGGCAAAGGAGCGATGCTCACAACAACGATCGGAGTGCCGGGTGGCTAAAGCACAGCAAGTTGGCACAGTAGGGGGCACAGGTGGTGCATCAGCCAGTCATCTCAGTCAGTTGACCCGTGGCACCTGGGTCTGCCCCGTGACCTCCTGCCAGCGGGGGTTCAACACTTTACGTGGCCTCAACGTGAACATAGCCTGGCACGAGTGCCGTAGTGACATCACCGCCACTTACTTAGTGGTGAATGGCGGTTGTTGTTGTTGTTTAATGAGTGGGGAGCGGTAGTGCAACGGTTAGCGCCAGAGGTGTGGACTCGAGTCATGTGACTTGGACTCGAGTCAGACTCGAGTCATGAATTTGATGACTTGAGACTCGACTTGGACTTGCATAACAATGACTTTGTCCCACCTCTGAGGTGTGGACTCGAGTCATGTGACTTGGACTCGAGTCAGACTCGAGTCATGAATTTGATGACTTGAGACTCGACTTGGACTTGCATAACAATGACTTTGTCCCACCTCTAGTTAGCGCGCTGTGCTACAAACGCGGCGTTCACGAGTTTTATTACCGCTCACCGTCAACACCAGTGACAATTATCTGAACCAGTCATGGGCCTCCCCTAGGTCGACTCAGCCTCAAATGAGTATCAGATGTGCAAACATCACCACTGGGGAGACAAATGTGGCCGGATGTGGTGTTGCCCATCCACCCCCTCATGTGCTGTGCCTGCCTGCATAGGTGCTCGCTAACAGCACGTGCCCCAGCAGCCTGTTAAGGCTATAAGGGGGATCTTTGTCTTTTGTGTGACCGAGTGTGCTGGTGCATGTGTGTGAGTGGATGCCCGTGTGTACGCAATTGCTGCCATGTATTTGTGAGAATGCGCATTTTGGTGTGGCCGTGCCGGTGCGCAGCTCACGGCGCATCTCGTCCGCGCTGCTGTCCGTATCGCCGTAATCTTCGCCATCGTCGTCGCTTGCTGTGCCGTGCTGGTGTGCCTTCGCCTGAAAGTAGCGGTCGGAGCGACGCTGCTTCTTGATGAGATCGGTCTGCTCCTGGATGAGAGACAGCTGCTCCATGGTCACCTGCTCCAACTCCGCCTATAGCACCAACATATGCACGCACACACACACACACGTGAACAAAGACCCCACCCCCTCCGTGTAAAAACACAGGCTGTTGGGGAAAGAGCTGTTAGCGAGCATCTATGAAGGTTGGCAAGGTGCATGAGGGGGTGAGTGGCCAGAACCAAACCCTGCTATCTTAACTGTGCTGACATTTACACACCGCACCAGGTAATCATTCAAGGCCGAGTCAACCTATGGAAGTATTCTTTGGTTCTTTCGGTTAAGTCACGTCTAAAGATAAAATAATAAATTAAAATAAAAGCATATTAATAGAGTAATATGCTTTTATTTTAATTTATTATTTTATCTTTAGACGTGACTTAACCGAAAGAACCAAAGAATAATTCCTGCAGTCACGAAAGCCCCATAATTAAGATTGAACCTATGGAAGGCCCAAGCACAATTCAGATATTTGCCACTGATGTTTGCTTTGGCCAGGAATCAAGCTTGGGTTACTGAGTTGGTAGAGCAGTGTGGTGTTATGCTACCACACCCCGTACACATAAATGTACATGCCTACACACATCACAAGGATGTGTACACCCACAGATATGCAGACACACACTTGCACACATGCATGCGCACACACAAGCGCACAAGCACGTGGAGGTGCAATCGCATGTTTTTTGAGCACACAGACGTGCATACACATGCACTCAACGTAAGGCACACAGGCTACAGTTCAAAGATTGCAGAAAAATTCAACGTGAATTGTTTACAGACAGTACTATCGTCTGTACACTACAGCTTAGCTGGGAGAGGAGACACACGTGTGTTTACTGGGGGATGCGCCTATTAAGAAGCCTGTTTCCTAATCCCAACATGCCCTTTTCAACCTCATGGATCCTACAACCACCACTACCGAAGGCGAGCGATTGACACATGTTTGTGCAGTGCCACAGCACACTTTGAAACGGTTTAAAAGTTGAACGCCGAGGCGGCCAGGTGGCTCAAGAGGACCGAGCTGGGAACGTTAAAATCCCGAGTTCAACTCCGAGCAACCGCACGTGATTAAACCGGCAGTGACTGCAAAAAACCAAAACCGTTTGGATTTCACTTAATTTAGAATATTTTAAGCTGAGAATGGGTGTGCACCCCGAGTTTGGGTATCAAGTAACGGATGGGTTCTCGGATAATTGTGATATCATATTTTCACTTTTGTCTAACATGGGATGATGCACTGCTCTCTCTGAGAGTTCCAAGTGGTAGATTCTTCATGTATAACGTGACATTGATAGGACAATTGTTCCATAATTGTAGAGACAAATACAAAGCAGACCGTACCGCCAGATCGTGATGTATCACCAAAGCATTGGTGCCCATGTGTTAAAATGCCAAGCAAGAAAACTGGCTAATAAGATACCTGGCTTATAGATTCGAGTACTCAGTTGAGGAGCTCAAGACTACGCGAGTGGACAGGACAAGCTCAGGGGTGGAGTCCTCTTGAGTGAAAACACAGCAGGGCCGGGCTGTGTTGGAACAGAGCTGAGCTCCGTGGCCGGGCAGTGGACCCTCTCGACAGTGCTGCTCACCTGAAAGCTATGTGCAGAACTCAGGTCCTGCTTGTCCTGGGCTTCGTGCATGCGCTGCTTCAGACCGTCCTGCTTGAGTGGGATGGCTCTGAGGGCCTCCTGCACCTCCACCATGCGGTCCTGCACACAGGAGGCATGCGGTCTCCTCTCCCACTCCTCCCCCCATTGGTCTCCTCCTCCCCTGTGGCCATATGGCTTCAAAGTGCAGAAGGTTACACCACACGTTAACCCAAAAGAAATCAAACACAAGTGTAAGTTTGCTGTCGAGCGAACATATATGAATGTGGATGAAAAAAACTTGCCAAGTGTTCAACAAATGCATCCATACTCTTAGGTTTTTTCGGTAAAGTCACGTAGGTAAAAAATAAAATTTATAGAAACAAAATAAAATAATGCATCCATATTGGCCAGGGCACAAGCTGGTACCACCTGGGATGGCAAAACTTACGTTAAACAAATGTCTTTACACAGCTAAAAAAATACATTCACATGTGATAACATGTGCAATTGTCATTACATCTCAATATCATCACTGCCTATGGACCTTAAAACAACTTAGCTATGTTTCGCCACGAAAGGTGGTGCCAACAAGTTTAAATATATTTGGGAACATGCATTATTTTGGCGAGGCAAACCACGTGGGCTCACACACAAGCACACACACACCTGTCTCTTGAGCTTTGTGATCTGAGCCTGCAGGGTGCGGGAGGTCGCAGTCTCTCGGCATGAGGCAGGGATGACCCCCCCTTCTATGTGAGGCCTCTTGCAGACTGGGCCTTCCACTGGGCGGACCCGGCTGAACGGGCACAAGCAAGCACGATTGAATGGACATTGCCAGGGAGACAAAGAAGACAGTGGGCAGGCAAAGCCTGTGTTCGTAGGCCCACAGCTTTCACTCCCAGATTGTTGATGATGCCACAATGCACGTAGTGCTCATTGAGGCAGAGTCAACCTTGTGATAATATTTAGTTTGAGTTGTGTCATTCATGCAACTGCATCACACAATGCTGCACAATCCACAAACACGGCAGTGCATATGTAGAGGAACACTGCGGGGACCCAACGAGGGGCAACCGTGGGAAGGGGTCCAAGTAGAAAGGGGAGTGGCAGAAGGGTGAGAGGGGAGGGTAGGTAGACAGAGTGAGACATCGGCTAGTGGGGGAGGCAGGTAGAAGGAGGAGAGCCAGGTAAAAGGGAGGGGATAAAAGGGGAACCTGGATGGAAGGGGAGGGGTCAGAGACAAAGAAGGGCCAGGAAGAAAGAGAGAGGAGCTAGGTAGCAGGTAGAAGGGCTCCTGAGGCAACGGGTGGAAGAGTACGGGGTAGACTGGACGAAGGTCGAGGGAGTCGGAAGAGAGGGCTAAGGGACAGGGAGTATTGATTGCCCGCGACGGAACTGAGAGTGCGGATGTTGGCGTGAATAAACGGCAAGCAGCCCTGAATGTTCAACCCTGGTCTCCGTCTGAGTCTACAATCCCACAGGGCATCAAGAAGCACGACTCTACAGATGTACGAAGATGTATTTAGCCAAGTTATGACTGTTTATGCATGTGGAGAGAAACCAGAACACCTGGAGGGGGCAACACTATCCTGTACAGATGGGACAGATGGAGATTAGTCCACATTTGCTGTACCGCCCTCTCCTGGCGACCCAGGCACCTCGACGCCCACGGGGAGGGAGTTTCACCACATTTGTGTGATCGACCAATCCTCACCGCCACACTTCTGGATTACAAGCATGCATAGTCGCCACTGCCATAGAAGTGGCTCAGGATAGGTTCACATTCAAACAGATGGAGCTTGTTGTGTAAGCCTTGGGCTGTTGGAACAGGACAAATGTATTTTTTGGGGATATCAACCTCATGGTGGGACCCCGGGGTCCCGAATAAACGGAAGTTGAGCCGTCGTAAGTCGAAACCTCGTGTCCCAGAGGGCGCAATGTCATACATTGGGATCCGTTCCTGGAAACCCATTACATACCATAAAAATGCCAAAACTGACCACTAAAATTAGTGAAATTAACCCTCGCAAACATTTATTGTAGCTTAACGTAACTTTTACGAACATTTATTCAGTAAAAACACTTTCATTTGAACATCCTTAAGTACTTTTCTGCATGTGCATCACATTTCCCCTTCTCGCACATAGCAAAAGTTGAAAGATTTTCTAAATTTGAAGAAAATGTACAAAAAAGTGTACAGAGCATTGCGAAAGAGATCCTTTCGATCGAGGCGCAACTGCACACCGTTGGACATACGCATACAGCGGAAGAGCAAAGCAGCGCCATCAGGTGACGAGTCTGCACATATCATTATGGTCTGGCACAGGCGCCGTGGTGACGTCACCATCACTTCGTGGAGAATGGCGAATATTGGTATGTGGTCATACACAATGGAGTGGAACGGTCGTGTAGCGGTTACCTCGCTGCACTACGAACCCGGCGACCCGAGTTCAATTCTCGCTCACGGCCAAACCAGTGACAATTATCTGAACCGGTCTTGGGCCTCTCCTAGGTCGACTCAGCTTCAAATGAGTACCTGGTTCAGTGTTTAAACATTGGCAGTAGGGGGACAAAGGCGACGGGGGCATGGTGTTGGCCATCCAACCCCTATCACAGTGCTGGCCTTCATAGGTGCTCGCTAAAAGCACCTGCCCCAATAGTCTCTTATGGCTTTAGGGGGGATCTTTGTGTTTCTATGTGGGCATGTGTGCATGCACACATCTGTGTGTGCGTTCTAGTAATTGTGTAAATGTGTTGATAAATGTGTGTCTGGAGTTTGAGTACCTGGAGTAGCGTTGGCTGTACTTGTATCCGGACTCGCGCACAACCTGACGAGCAAGCGGGAAGAGCTCATCCCGGCGCGTAAGCAGCGACATGTCCAGCAGACACAGCTGGCATGCAGCTTCGTTCACACTCAACTGCCCATGGCACACAGAACACACAGCATCCCATCATTCAGACCATCAGAGCGTGTAGATGAGAGCATCTATTAGTGTTAGAATGGCACACACACACACCTGGCCAACTTTTGTCTCCTTTATTACTTTGGTTTTTTCGGTAAAGTCACGTAGGTAAAAAGAAAATTTAAACACGACGTTTCGGAGGCAACACAAGCTTCCGTCTTCAGGTGGAACCGTCACAACAAAATTGCTGTATCAAATCTAGGATCTCCTTTATTACTCATAAACCATACTCAAGAAGAACTCCTCATAACGGCATCCCAATTATTCGTGACTCCTATTATCTGCGGTACTTATAAGGTCCGTGAAAACTCATTATCTACTTTCACATTGTTCCCATTATCTCATTATCCACTTTTTTTCCCCCTTGTAGTAAATTCAAAAATAACATTGTTAATTATCCACATTATCCATGGATAATAGGAGCTCTTCTTTAGAGGTACTTGGTCAGGAGTCGTTTAACTCAAGACCCAGGATAGGCCCCCCGAGACCAATTGCCAATGCCAGCGTTGAGGTGGACAGGAGTTGAAACCGAGTCACCAGGATTGCAATGTAGATGTAAACCACCATGCCACCATTCACAACACTGAATCGCATATGGATGCACACATACGTCACAAATAAGCCCACCGCACATACATTTATCACTGTTAAGGACCAACTGTAAAATCAAGAAATTGATAAAAAATATATAATGCAGTGTGTGAATTGTGAATAAAGTTTCATTTAATAAAATCTTAATTTGAAAAACAAGTATTTCTTGGAATAAAACTTCAGAGACTGCATTGGCAATGATGGATAGCCAAAGGCATGAAAGGCTTTACTACTGTCAGTTATTATTATAAAAGCTAACATATTCGTAAAATGGCAATAAATAAGGAAAGGACAAATGGTGATTGTTGTTTAAGTATTTCCAGTGGTTTCTTTACACATTATAAGTACAGCTACCAATAACATACAAGAGCTTGAGAATAAGTAGCAAAACGTTAATGTGTGGCTCTATTCACTGAATAATGAGGGATAACAGGACAACGGTAAGCGTACTGTGGTATGAGACCTGGTGACTCAAGTTCCATTCTTAACCATGGCTAACAGTGAGAGATATTTTAACTTTGGTCCTTATGCCCAACGCAGCATGGGTACTTCTGCATTCAGCAGTATATTGACAAAGGGGTTGTAAATTATTATTAATATTATAAAAGGGGAGAAGTAATAAGAACGGGGTTTACAGTTATTGCTTTACGTTATAACACATTGGGATGTATTAGATGACATTTAAAAATGCGAAACCTAAAACATTGACATTGACAAATTATGAACTTAAATATCAAATTCTCAAAAGAAACATTTCAAGAAAGTAATTAGTTGAAAGCTGAAACAAGAAGCAGACATTTCTGAAGTATTTATTTGACGAGGCAGGATCCCATTACGATACAGCAGAGTTATTTTCAGGGGAGACCTGAAGAAAATATCATTTTAAAAAAAGAACACAAACACTCAAATATTTGCAAGTACTTTACATGCAATCAAGCTGCAAACGACAGATGTTTTCTCCACTTCAAGACGATGTCGTGTGACAACATCAATGATGGAGGGGAAAATGCTGAACATGGTGGCCATGTGCAGTGCACTCCGAAGCAATCAATCTCAATGTGGCATGGCAGATTGTCCTGAATTAATAATTGAAATTAATTTTCATTGAAAATTTGCACAGTTGCGCTTACGATTCCGTTAATTGCAAATGTTAAAACACTGCAGCACAATAGCATTGTAGAACACTCCCCCCCTTGATACATTAGGTACTACAGATTATTTGTCAATACACTGCTCGATGAAGACTTATGCCATGTCAGTGATGGGGTCATTTAATCATACTTCACCACGTTGGTCAGTGTGGGTTGAAGGGGGTGCAGCCAGGACCGGTTCTGCAATTACACTGGTCAACACACTTTTTCTGGCATAAGGTAATTTTTGGGAGCTGATTCCAAATATGGCATCAGTTTTTGTCTATCACATCAGGTTTTTGAGATATAAAATATTGCATTTTCAATAAAAACTGCAGAAGAAAAATATTAAATAAATGTGGATATCTACATAAAATGATATTATAAACACACTATCCTAAAAATACAGCACCATATTTTGACACTAAAGCAGTCACTGACTCGCAACAACTTGCAATCATAAGTGACAGAGTTAATTTTGGGTAAAATCAATGAAAATGGGGTATGCCGATAGCATAAAAATTAGATCAGATTTGGAATCAGCACCCTGAAATTCGTCTAAAACAGCTGCAAAAGTCCAGGCCAGAATTGTTTTTTTTGTTGACCAGTGTTATTCATACTCTTAGGTTTTTTTCGGTAAAGTCACGTAGGTAAAAAAAAATAATAGAAATAATAATAGAAATAAAATAATTATCTCTATGATTTTTTTATTTAAATTTTTTACCTACGTGACTTTACCGAAAAAAACCTAAGAGTATGAATCCTTGCAGTCACGAAAGCTTAAAATCTAGAACAGATATTATTCGCCCACTGATGTTAGCCGTGAAAAGGAATAAATCTTACGGTCGCCAGGTTCGTAGAGTAATGCAACGGCTGCACCACCATTCCACGATCAACGGGGGTCACTGCATCACGCGCTTTCAGATGCGCTTCTGCGGCCGTCTGGAACGCTCTTCCTTCCGATATTAGAAAGCTACTGGAGCTATGCACTTTTAAATAATCTAGATTGAAAACTCATTTCTTTAGAACTACTTTATGTGTTTAGTTTATTGTCTTTCCCCCGCAGTTCCGATTAGCATGGTTGGAGTTCAACATACATACATACAATGCAAGAGACGTATTAGCCAATCAAATGGTAGGATTTAGAATAGTCACATGATCTCATCATTGTATTGACTCATGTAGTCACAATAACATATTGGTCTCTTCTCGTGATTGGTCACAGCCTACTCTGTGTTCTCATACCTTTTTAACGCTGTTAATTTCTTGGATTTTAAGATGTTTGTGTGGGTCATAATATTAAGCGTTTAGAGATGCGATTTGCACGAATGACGCTTCATGAAATCAAGTTATTACATTAAGTGGTCTTCCATCATTGTACAACTGATCCTGCATTGACAACGAATACACTTCTGATCATGTAAAAATTAATTATACACCATCACACACACCAATTATGAATCCATGTTATTCTATATGTAATGTAGATGCACTGAGTGCAGTTTTGGTGTTCGTTGCAAACACAAATTACAATTCCAGTACCGTACCGTGATGCCAAGCACTGTAGAATAGTGTAATCTTTTGTCAGTTTACTCCAAATGAATGTCCTACTGTAAGGGGCAAAGTTTGCCACTGGATCGAAGTGTAATAACAAATGCTCTGGTCCACCTTCCCCGCACCTCCGGTTAGCACGGTTGGCTACATACAGTGCGACAGAAGTTCAACACACATCCATATCTACCTCGTGCTGCGTGAGCTGCTTGCCATCCTTACGGCGCGAGTCAAAGCGGCCATAGATGGCGCTGAACTTGCGGATCTCGTCCTCGCGCCTCTCGTCACCCTCGTCCATCTCAAAGATGTGCCCCATGTGGGCGGCCATCTTCTTGTTGGTGCGCAGCACCTCCTGCACCTCGGCTCGTTCCAGCGGCCGGTGAGTGGGCCCCAGCGCCTGGGCGGAACACTCCGTGATGATGCGGCGCGTCTCAGGATCCAGCTCCCCGCCTGGGCCATCTCCGTCGCCCGAGGAACCGGCCGACAACGTCCCGTCGTCCATGGCGCCCGCGACGTTCCCCCCGCCAACACCGCATACGCCTGTGTCGGCAACGTCCCCCGGCCAAGCTGCCCTCATGGAGCCATGTGTCAGTCCATTTTCTCTGCCAGAACTAGTACCACCTCCATTGCTACCACTGCCACAACCAGTATTGGCAATAGTGCTAGTAATGATCCCGAGACTACTGCTGCTGCTGCTGCTGTTGTTGCTGTTGTTGATCCTGCAAGCATTGCTTGCGACAGATGCTGGCGTGTTTCTCACGGTGCACGACACAGAGCCGGAGACGGAAGGTAGGCACTGTTTGGCATTGCTTGATGCCACGCCTATCGCTGTGACGCCAGGATTTGGCGCCAGCTGTTGCTTGCCAGTGGTGGTGGTGGTGGTGCTGGAAACGCTTTTGTTATTTTCTCCAACAACACGCATGCTCGCTCCTGCACTGGCGGAGCCAATCGTGGCCTGATTCGGGCCAAAGGTCGGGCCAAGATTCAGGGCTTCAGTGGCAGTGGCAGTTGTGAGGTTGGAGATCTTGGAGATGGGGATGCTGGCACAAGCAAACGCTGGTAGAACCTGACTGAATACAGAAGGGTTGTGCACCCACTCCTGCAAGGCCTTCTGCAGACGGCGCACATGCAGGGGTTTGCTGGCCATGCCTACCAGTGCCATGATCTCCAGAAACTCTTCCTGCACATCCAAACACACCCACGCACCATGAAGAGTGTCATCACAATATAAAGACAGTCTTAATATAACACTAGTTGAGCCTAATGCTAAATACTCAATGACTGGTGACTATTTCCAATAATGGTTCAAAGCGGTGAAATTAGTTAGGCACTTCCCAGTGCTCGTATGAAAATGGAGACTCCCTGACTTATTCTTTGGTTCTTTCGGTAAAGTCACGTATAAAGAAAAAATAATAAATTAAATAATAGCATACGACGTTTCCATTGCAACACAAGCAATCATCATCAGGTATAATGAAATAGCTACATAAAATCTAACCAGAAAAAATTATAGACAGACATATAAGCAGACAGATATCACCAAGATACACACAGCGGGCAACACAGGTACAGAGAGGGGTGATCGTCTCTGTGGGGTGGCCTTAAATAGACAGAGGGGGGCGGAGGCAGCGAGAGGGAGGGGTTAGAGACAAAATTTACATGTCAATGAGTACAACAAACATTTTGATACTTTGCTAGGTTATTTAATTTTAGTGTTTCTTTCTCCCCCTAAGCCTGCTCACTCCTTTTTGTTGTACTCATTGACATGTAAATTTTGTCTCTACCCCCTCCCTCTCGCTGCCTCCGCCCCCTCTGTCTATTTAAGGCCACCCCACAGAGACGATCACCCTCTCTGTACCTGTGTTGCCCGCTGTGTGTATCTTGGTGATATCTGTCTGCTTATATGTCTGTCTATAATTTTTGCTGGTTAGATTTTATGTCGCTATTTCATTATGCCTGATGATTGCTTGTGTTGCAATCGAAACGTCGTATGCTATTATTTAATTTATTATTATCTTTTCTTTATACGTGACTTTACCGAAAGAACCAAAGAATAATCCCTGCAGTCACGAAAGCTCCAAGTTAAGATTGAACTCCCTGACTTTTTAGTTTCTATTAAAAGCGTTTGGGAGCTTAAGAAATGCAGTCATTCATTATTACATTTCTGTAATCTAGCATTTTGAAAGTGGCATTAGTATATCACAAACAATAGATATCCAACCTGCAGGGTCACAAGGTGACTAGTCGATGGAAAAACAGCGAGTAGGTTACCAATCTATGTGCCAATGATCAAGCATTATCACGTGTATTAACTCATTTTCTTTGGGCACTCTCACTCTCAAAAAGGAATTCGACAAATGTTCGAAATAAACTTCCCAGAAAAAGCCTCGCTTTAGTTCAACTTTCCGGTGTAAATGTACGACTATAATTAGTTTCGGGAGGGTAGTTGTTGGGTGCCTAAAATAAAGACGTGGAGCCCCCTCGCCACTTTGGGGCCTACAGGAGGAACTGGTGAGCGGGGTAGCGTGGGTGGAGCACCTGCTCGGCGTCACACAGCTGGTGAACGTCATCCCCGCCCTGCTCCACGAAGGTCTGGTAGTAGGAGAGGAGGTTGGCGCGCTGCAGCACGCGGAAAAGCTGCAGTTCGCCCAGCGTGCGGGGCTGCGGTTTCAGCTCCTCCATGACAGCGTCTGACCCCTCTCTTATTTACAAGCAGCACCGTCTGCCTCCATGGCACAATGACACACATCATGCGAGCACCGATTATGATCTGTAAGCACGTAATGATTAATTAATCGCTTAAAATGTACGCTTATGCCCGTGATGCGTGCATCAAATTAAACAGAGCATGTCAAAATAGATAGTTTACAATGTGTAGTGGCATAGCGCTGGCTGCTGGCGAAAAAGGGTAACTGCGGTGTATGGAAGTACCCACGTCAGCAGCCACGATAGACACGAGAGAGGGACATCTACGGAAAAGGTCACAGAGGGGGGCCTATCGAAAAGCCTCGGAAACCCGCTAGAATGTTCCAGAGAGGGGGCGTGGCCGGGACTGAGCGAGGCCACGCTCAGAGTATAAGAGGGGCCCCCTGTGAGAGACCTCGTGGCTGCGGCTGGAAGTGGCATCCCCATCGTGCTGTTCAAGATCGTCGCTACCATCTCGTCATCGCCATCGTTGTTACCATCTCGTCATCGCCATCGTCGTTACCATCTCGTCATCGCCATCGTCGCTACCATCTCGTCATCGTCGCTGTCGTCTCGTCGCCATCGTCGCTGTTGTCTTCACTCGACATTGCGCTGCTAGATAGTCGTTGACCGTCTCTGTTCAGCGCCGTCGGTGTTAGACGGCTAGCGTTGTGCACAGGCTAGCAACAGTAATAGTGTGTACCCACGTAGGGTGTGGATTATCCCGATGGTGCTTGTTAAGTAAAATAAGTGCCTCCAAGTCTTACTGTCTCCGAGTTAGTCACTACAAATGTATGGAAATTAAACAAAAGTGATATTCAAATGTCAAATTCACGTAATATAGTGAACAAAACTGCATCCATGAAATATAAGGAAAAAAACAATAAACAAGATACGAGGCAAAAATGTTACACATCTTTAATCACATCATGATCATGAATTGATACAATTGAATTAATAACTGCAGTGAATTGCTACATGCCTACTGGTTTGGTTTGCATATGGGGCAGTGATATGGCCAGTACCACACAGTCACCATGATCCCCAGAGCACACTGCACCAGGTACTGATTTAAGGTGAGTTAAGATTCTTAAGTTCATAGCCAGAATTTCAACTTAGGTTACTAGGATAGAGGCACATTGTAAAAACCACTATACCACCATTCCCTCACATAGATGTGTCAACCTTTGAAAAAGTGCAGGTGACATGATGCAAACAGAACATCTACTGAAATATTTAACAATCCAAGCTAATAATCACCCCTGGATTGAATTTCCTCGAAGAGGATCAATTAAGCCTCTGTTTTGAACTGGAATGCCTCATACCGAGAATGTCAATAGGCCAATATAATATAATTGGCATAGCAACAACAACAAATATGATCTCTTGTTGTGGTACATTAACTTTGGGTAGAGTAGTGGCACAGTGATTAGAGCACTGCTCTATGAACCTGATGATCTGAACTGTATTCCGGCTACCAACAGACCAGCGTAGTGAAGTGTGGTCACAAACCCCCGTGCCGAGCATGGAGTGGAGACACTTTCATCCAGCAGTGGATTGACAAGGGGCTGAAAATTCTTTAATTCACGTCACATTTGTGTCAATGGAGAAATAATTACGTAGGATCTCTGTTACCAATACAGTATAGGCAGTGCCTGCCATTGGGAATTAGCCTATTGACACTGCTGTATTGAGCGACATATTTGCCAGAGAAAAAAAAGTAGTTTTAAACTAAGAGACCGCACGTCCGTGGGACGTGACCATCCGTCCGTATATGTGCGTCGATCCCAGTCTCCCGCCAACCAAACTTTTGTCTAATGTATATGATCTGGTGTTACAGCATATATTGCACAATCCACGGCTGGGTGGAGGGTGATGTCACGATGAAACAATCACACGAGTGCCAGGCAGACAGGAATCCAGGCAGGAAGCCAGCCCGCAATTATTTCCCCTGATATGATTACAGTATACATGAGCTTAGGCTTATTGGTGTCTTTTTGCATTATGAAAAAAAGACAAAGATCCCCCGTATAGCCTGAACAGGCTGTTGGGGCAAGTGCTGTTTGCGAGCACCTATAAAGACCGACACGGCACACGAGGGGTGTGTGGCCAACACCACGCCCGGCCGCCTTTGTCTCCCCATTGGCGATGTTTTACACACCTCGGTTCAGATAATCGTCACCGGTCTTGGCCGTGAGCAGGTCTCGGAACTCAGGTAGCCAGGTTCGTAACCTCTACGCTACCACTCCCCACAATGTATTGTGCAGACATCTGACCACAGGACACACAACGCACGCCTTAAGCAAACCTATCACTTGGATTCTACTGTGGCATTTTTGGCTTCGTGTTAGTTGGATTTGGAAAATTCATTGTATTACAAAAAAAACCCTCATAATGCATTCCACTTAATATTCCTAAAATGCCCTCTTTTTTCGTTTTAACAAAACAAGGCGAAATGATGTGTGGCGTGCCACAATAATTCCCTCGAAAGCAATCCAGATTCGGGCAAAGAGGCCCTCTCTCGTCTGTGGTGGAAATCACGTTTTGGCGAGAACTTTCCCACAAAACAGTACTTAACTTTAACGACCCCCGGGGAAGTGATGATGGGGGATGAGTCCCCCATTCACAACTTTTCAGATTTTAGTTGAATTAACTCACCAACAACAAAAGCACGGCACGGGTTTCATCGGGGACAGAATTCTAGTAGTGTACGTATCGCGCAATTCATTGACGATTGACAGCATCGCCACGGTGCCAGGGGTGTGACTAGGCCTCGGCGAGGTAAGGTAATTTACCCTTTTTACCGGGTAAAAGGGTAAAGGTAAAGGTGTCGACATGCCAAGGGGTAAGGTAAAGGATAGGGTAAAGGTAGCTCGGAAGAATTACCCGGTAAGGTTAAGGAAGTGCGAAGTATTACCCGGTAAATACAGTACCTTGTTTACCGCTAAAAGCTCTGTGGCGCAGTCTGTGGCCTCCATTTATTAAGTAATCTTACAAAAAACTGTTTAAAAAACACGCTTTTATGAAATGTACTAGTAATGGCAGAACTACACGACTCCTGGAAGTTGTCCCGAAGCTTGCCACAACGTAAGGGGACCGTGGCCAATTACAGCCGTCAGTTGAGCGTGGACAAATAGACCCAAGCCGAATCATAACATAAAAAAGATTATTTTAAAATATATATATATTTTAATGATAGAATATAGTATTGTCATCAGTATGACATAAGTATACCAATTTTGCAGTCGATACCACATTGGAGAGTGGGTAAAAACTGAGTTACAAGATTTGAGGATACAACGACAACAACAGTGAGTGTAAAATTGGAATCATCGAGAGTATTCTATATGAATAAAGCGCTCTACCTAGCATTTACCCTGTTATAAACCTTGTTGATGTGTAGTTCGCCAGTAATTACCCTGTAATCGGGTAATTTGTATGGGATAAGGTAAAAGGTAGGGTAAAGGTAGCCTCGTTGTTTTTACCTTTAAACTTTTACCTTACCTTGCCGAGGCCTAGTGCCAGGGATGTCACGTTCGGGGAACACTCAACACTGCGGTGAACAACAACGCTGACGTTCTCGTGGATTCATCATCGTCAATTCTCTAGCCCCTAACATTGAAGTCAAATCACCGCATCACCACACGAGCCCGTGCCACGTGGGGGGGGGATGGAATTTTGTGATTTGATTACCTAGCGCGCATAAGCAACCGCCCCGTCCGATTGGTCCGCGCTCACAGGACGCGAGCCGCGAGGACCAATCACTGACGTCGTCTCGTAAGCGCCCGCCTTGTCCGCGCTAGGAAATACAATTGCGGGGGAGGGGGGATCCCACAACCCCTCCCACCCTACCCACCCACACGGACCCCACCACCCCCCACCCTACCCACCCACACCCCCCATCCTTACCGCCCGCACCCCCCACCCTACCCACCCAGACCCCCCACCCTACCTACCCACAACCCCCACTCTATCCACCCACCCCCCACACCCTACCCACCCCCACCCTACCCACATCCCCCACCATACCCACCCCCACCCTACCCACCCAGACCCCCCACCCTACCTACCCACAACCCCCACTCTATCCACCCACCCCCCACACCCTACCCACCCCCACCCTACCCACATCCCCCACCCTACCCACCCCCACCCTACCCTACCTACGCACAACCCCCACTCTATCCACTCACACCCCACACCCTACCAACACCCCCCACCCTATCCACCCACACCCCCACCCTACCCACACCCACACCCCCCACCCTATCCACCCTCACCCCCACCCTACCCACACCCCCCACCCTATCCACCCTCACCCCCACCCTACCAACACCCCCCACCCTATCCACCCACACCCCCACCCTACCCACATCCACATCCTACCCACACCCCCCACCCTTACCACCCACACCCCCCACCCTATCCACCCACACCCCCCACCCTACCCACACACACACCCCCCATCCTACCCCCACCCTACCCACCCACCCACACCCCCCACCCCACCCCCACCCTACCCACCCACACCCCCCACCCTATCCACCCACACCCCCACCCTACCCACCCACCCACACCCCCCACCCTACCCCCACCCCACCCCCCACCCCACCCACCCACATCCCGCCTCTGCGTGGTTCTTCACGTCGCGTGTAAAAACAAAAAAACCCGCAGCACCCCCCCACCACCACCACCGCTTATAGAGATATTTATTTATTTTGTTACTTTCGGACATTATGTTTAACACTTCGCGTTGCTAGTTCATCCGCGTACTGCCCACGCGATTATAGTATAATATAGTGGTGGTTGTGGAGTTGTGGGTGGTGGTGGGAGTGGTGGTGGTGGTGGTTGTGGAGTTGTGGGTGGTGGTGGTGGGGGTGGTGGTGGGGGTGGTGGTTGTGGAGTTGTGGGTGGTGGTGGTGGGGGTGGTGGTGGTGGTAAGGCAGCAGGCAGGGCCACGTCAACCGGGATGGTGGTGGTGGTGGGTGGTGTTGGTGGTGTGTGGTGGTGGTGGTAGTGGGTGGTGGGAGGTGGTGGTGGTGTGTGGTGGTGGTGGTGGTTGTGGGTGGTGGTTGTGGGTGTGTGGTGGGTGTGTGGTGGGTGTGTGGTGGTGGTGGTATGTTGTGGGTGGTGGTTGTGGGTGTGTGGTGGGTGTGTGGTGGGTGTGTGGTGGTGGTGGTGGTGGTGGTATGTTGTGGGTGGTGGTTGTGGGTGTGTGGTGGGTGTGTGGTGGTGGTGTGTGGTGGTGGTGGTATGTTGTGGGTGGTGGTTGTGGGTGGTGGTTGTGGGTGGTGGTTGTGGGTGGTGTGTGGTGGTGGTGGTGTGTGGTGGTGGTGGTGGTTGTGGGTGGTGGGTGTGTGGTGGTGGTGGTTGTGGGTGGTGGTTGTGGGTGTGTGGTGGTGGTGTGTGGTGGTTGTGGGTGGTGGTATGTTGTGGGTGGTGGTTGTGGGTGGTGGTGGGTGGTGGTGGTGACAACTCGCTTCTGCCCGTCACCCAGATGCCAAATTCACGAGATGTCGCCCCACGTTTTGTGCGGCTCAGCTGATCAATTGTAGTTTAAAAGTGCCCTCTAAAACATTAAAAACTTGCTCGTCCGATCCCCCACAGATCGAGAGAGTTACTCGTGTCCCCGTCGGGTTTATTCTACTGTGTGTGTGTATATAAAGCGCCTTTTTAATAGAACGTATCCCCCCCTCCCACCCCCCTGGAATTAAGTGGCACTGCGCTTGGCAGATGCAGAATGTTAGAAAGTCACCTGGCGAAATGTGGATGACGAGGACCTCTGTTGAAAAGCGCCGTTGATAGAGAGGAGATGCCGTGGCCCACCGGCTTCTCTCAAGTTCCTCTCGTCTTTGTTTCACCCCGGGCTTGTCTGTGGCTCTGGCTGTGAGAGCAAGAGAGCAAGAGAGAGAGCGAAAAGGCAAGAGCTGACCTGTGACGCCTTCCAAACCAGCGCACATTTGACGACAACGCCACGCTCACTCAACTCGCACGGCACAGTTACAGAGAGAGCCTCCCCACACACACACACTCTGCTCACCCAGCCCAGTTGCTCTGTGCACTGTATTGGCCAAGCAGACACCACGCCACTCCTCTCTCCACCCACACAGTGCACGCACACACGGCTTACCCGCCTCCCCACACACCAAAAAGCCACTGCTCAACTCTCACCAGGGTACACACACGCACGCACGCAGCTCCACCCACACACCCACACACACACACCAGGGTACACACACGCACGCACGCAGCTCCACCCATACACCCACACACACACACACCAGGGTACACACACGCACGCACGCAGCTCCACCCATACACCCACACACACACACCAGGGTACACACACGCACGCACGCAGCTCCACCCATACACCCACACACACACACACCAGGATACACACACGCACGCACGCAGCTCCACCCATACACCCACACACACACACACCAGGGTACACACACGCACGCAGGCAGCTCCACCCATACACACACACACACCAGGGTACACACACGCACGCACGCAGCTCCACACATACACATACACACACACACCAGGGTACACACACGCACGTACGCAGCTCCACCCATACACACACACACACCAGGGTACACACACGCACGCACGCAGCTCCACCCATACACCCACACACACACACACCAGGGTACACACACGCACGCACGCAGCTCCACCCATACACCCACACACACACACCAGGGTACACACACGCAGCTCCACCCATACACCCACTCACACACACAGCACATGCATTCACACACCCACCACCCCACAGCACATTCACACACCCACCACCCACACACTGTCACCCTCCCCACCCAGTGCGTGCACACTCACACAATGCCACCCCCACCCCCATCTCTCTCTCTCTCCAGCCCCCACACACAATCCGATCCCTCCAAGCCACAAAGATCTCCCGTGTAGCCTGAACAGACTATTGGGGCAAGTGCTGTTAGCGAGCACCTGTGAAGGCACACGAGGGAGTGGATGAACGACACCACGCACGACCGCATTTGACGATGTTTACACAACGACACCAGCTACTCATTTGAGGCTGAGTCAACCTAGGGGAGGGTCCAGGACCAGTTCAGATAATCGTCACTGGTGTTGGCCGTGAGCGGGAATCGAACTCGGATCGCCAATCGCTCTACACCCCCCCCCCACACACCCACACACAGTCATGCATTCAACCTCACCTCCTTTGCCTATGCTCACCCCACATCATGTATACACGCATAAAGTCCCTCCCCTTTACACCCCACAGCGCATACAATTTCACCTCTTCACCCACATCACACTGAGTCATACACACATGTGCTAACGCCTCTCCACCCACAGGACTCCACACCACCCACTGCACATACACATTCAGAGACTCACGGCCTGGCTGTTCACAGACCAGGGCAAAACCCCGACTCTTTCTACCCACTGCCACTACACACACGCACAGATCCCACCTCTCTCAATTCACGATACACATTACAGCAACCGCCCACACTACACACACCACACTACACACACCACACACACTACACACACTCACCACACCCTACACACACACTACACACACCACACTACACACACACCACACTACACACACCACACACACACTGCACCCACACACTACACTACACACACTAAGTAATACATATACAACAAACATCCCCCGTATAGCCTTCAACAGACAATTGGGGCAGCACCTATGTTGCAACCCACCCCCAACGGCATACAAGGGGGGTGGGGTGCCCAACACCACTCCCGGCCGCCTTTGTCTCCCAGTGGCGATGTTTTTTTGTTGTTACACACCGCACCAGGTTCTCATTTGAGGCCGAGTCGACCTAGAGGAGGGCCAGGACTGGTTCAGATAATTGTCACTGGTGTTGGTCGTGAGCGGGAATTGAACTCGGGTGCCCGGGTTCGTAATGCAGCGTGCTATCCACTCCACTACCACAACACAAATACACGAAAAAGCCCTCTCTTTTTAAATCCTTTATATTAAGTTCGCTTGCTTGCTTGCATGCTTGCTTGCTTGCTTAGGACCGTGCAAATCTTTCGGTCGTGTTTTAACCCACTTCCCGTGATCCAATCGAGCTGACATTTTGCACACAGACTCGTTGTGCGTGACAATTAATTTTCGTGAAACATTTTTTCCAAAATTTTACACTGTTTAGGGAATTTTTAAAAAAAGATTTAATTACCAATTGCTTAATTGTGGCAGACAATCATCTGACCCATAGGTGGCAGCCATCTCAAGCCAGAGGACGAGAGGACTCTAGCCGCCACGCATATAAAGGATTCATAGTGAAAAACTTTGTTTTTACGGGTTAATTTTTTCACAACACAAAGCCATCCTCGGGCAGTGGCATTAGCCCAGTGACAGTTCGTCCGCGGTTCGAATTCATCAGCCACCCTGGTTATTACTGCGGGGATATTAACCATGCAAATTTGCGCCGTGCGATTCACATTGGATGTTATAGGTGTTAAATGGCATCATTCGCAAGGAGTAGGACATTGTATGTTGGCGTAATGGTCCAAATTTACCAAAAATATGTTTTACCGATTAGCGCGGTTAGATAGGTAACGGTTACAAAATAAGTTCAACGTAAATACATGTCAACAATCATCGCTCATTATTGCTAAAACATTGCAGCGAGTCTTTCCTGAGTAAAGGATCATCATAGCTATTCCACCCACAGTACTTGGACCAAATTACAACCTTTTACTCCCCGTTCTGAACCCGCTCTACTTACGGGTACATTACACGGAAACCTCTCTCAAAGCACGTACACGTGCTTTCACAGCCCAACAACACCCACAGCAGCATACACACGCACACACTCCCACTCCTTTCCAACCACACTCGTCACAAACACAACCCCCTCTCTCCGCCCACGCTGCCACATACACATTTATACACACACACACCGCCCATCCTCCACATTCAGTGTACTCGAAATCACACGCAACATACACATCCCTACCCCCCCCCCGAGACAGCGGGTGTAAGGCAAGCAGCTACGCAAACCTCACTGGCTCTCCACCCACCCACCCACGCACTGCCAATCCACTCACGAACACACCAGCAAAGACGCACACACACACACACACACCACCACAGCACACACATTTCCGTTTTTGTTACTTTAATCCACAGCGAGCATGTGCCCAGCCACGAATGCAACGCCCACAAACAACCCGAGGGGCAACAATAATCATATTCGCCAGCCCCCACGCTGGTTCACCCACAAAGTCTCCACTCACACGGCCCACACCACCCACAAGTTCCACAACCCATCACCCACTCGGCCCACGCACAGCGCGCACCGTTCCACCCGCATGGGTTCTTGCTTATCAAGGCGCAGCCCCACGTGCGAACTGAGTTGATGTCCACGTGCGAACTGAGTGAACGTGCACGCCGCTCGTATTCGCCCCCCTCCCCCCCCCGATAAAGCTGGAACCATGCCGGCACTTAACGTTTTTTTTTATTCGTGACACGTGGTGATCCCGGTCAGCCAGTTTCCCCGGCTATTTTATAAGGGAGGTGCGTGGTGTGTGAGCACAGCAACAACAAAGACCCCCCCCCCCTCCCCATCAACACAGCAGTGCAGAGACTAAGTACGGGGTGGGGGGGGGGGGTCCTGTTGTGAATATCGCACAACTAGTTGTTTCAAGAGTTGTCAACTAAACACGCGAATCGAGCGCAGGGAAAGGTCCCAGGTAGGTAGGTGCGAACAAGCAATCTCCATTTAACAGCGACAAAACGCAAATGTGTGGGAGCACGAGCCGCCGGAATAAATAAAGTAAATAGTTCGGGTACGCATGGCAAGGGAGCCTTGCGTTTTGGTGTAATATGGGGAAAAGTGAGGGGCAGTGAAGGGAGTCAAGAAACGCACAGAATCCAACCCTCATCACGCCCACAACGCACTTGCATTCCATAAGCAACCCATTTTGCACCTCGCCATGTCCCCACACCACAACACCAAACACTTGACGATTTCATAACCACCCATTGGAACCTCATTTGCCAGTAAAAAATATGATAATTGTTTTTTTACCCTTTTATCTGGCAACAAAACTGACACATTTTTTTAAAGGAGTCATGTTTGCATAGACCACAATACCTGCAGTCATGATGCAAACAAAAAACATAACTCTGATAATGTATGTGCACTGTCCTTGAAGTTGATTGGTCCACACCCGAGACAGCTTTTCTTAGAGCCTAGTCTCACATGGTGTTGGACCAGATGACGCCAAAAGGCGCACAACCCAAAGACAATGCACCATCAGAGTATGAGAACTCGGGGTAAGCATTTACACCATTGGAACCTCATTTGCCAGTAAAACAAATATGATAATTGTTTTTTTACCCTTTTATCTGGCAACAAAACTGACCCATTAATTAATCCATGAAGATGTGGCCACACGCCGACTTGGTCACTTTCAGATGTTTTCTTGTTCATGTTTGTTGTTTGTTGCGGTTGCACCCGATTCGAGAGCCCGAATGGCTCACAGGGCAATACCTAATACATGTCAGTCCGGCATCACGATGGGCGGGGGAGATGCCAAACTGTGCCGTCCAAGTGTGCGACATTTACCGAGTTGAAAGAGAAACGATGACCCGCGTCTGTCATGATCAGGAGCTAAAGCTGCCCAATGCAGTGCACGGCGTGCACGTCAACACATCCTCGCTGGTCCATCCACATGAACATATACCGATCACGCAGCCCGTCCAACCCTTCTATTCCCACACCGACGCGTCAAAAAAAAAGACAAAAGGCTAAAAGACACGTGCTCAATTCTCTCCTACTTGCTCGCACGTAGACACACATTCACTGAACGCCACTATCCATTACGCACCGTCCCATCTCATTACCCCACAATACTGCAAAACGCCAAAAAGGACACACGTGCAACACAAGGATACCAAATAAACACAAAAACATACACAACTCATCAACTGCAAGCACACACACATGCCAACCAATTCACCCGCCATTAAGTGACGTCTCCACGACGCCTGTGCCAGGTTATGTGCACTTTGAGGCCACGTGGAGTTATCAAAGGCTCACGGCGCAGACCCAGCAGGTGCCATGGGTTGGCTGACTGAGATGCCCGGTAGATGCACCACCACCTGTGCCAGCTTGTTTCATTGTATCCGCCAGGCGTTCAGCTCGTTGTTGTGAGCAGTCGCTCCTCTGTCCTCCGTTGTTTCTAGAGGGCGACTGCCTCCAACTGCCC